TTGACAGCACTTAATTACAATATACATCTGACCATTAGTGGCAACTGTCTGTCATGTCCTTGTCCAGCAAAACACAGAGGTGCACTCTTGGGTGAGCTCAAGACATCAAACTAACACTAGCGTAAACTAGCTGCATGCAATGTGTCAGAGTACAATTGATTCCATAAGAGTTAACTGCCATAAAAGTCTGCATAAAATTACTGAAATTAATCTACTTCACTTGCTAGCTGCTATCCAACTAAGCATCAGCAAACTAAAACAGTTGAACTTTGAATTACAAAACGTCTCCTAAAAGTGCTCTTTTAATCAAATAGCTTTAACTAGGCCAAGATCTAAATGGTCCATAAACATTTAGTGTCCGCCAATATACTTTAACTGTAGATGCTTGATGACTACTTTTTATGTATGTCTCAGCTCAGTTCAGCTTATTTTAACTCAGTTATGTGGTCATCACTGGAGCAAAAGTTGTGCCTAGGCCACATACTTTGTAGAAAAGGATGTTGCAGTGTAGGTTGGGTTTATGTGAAGCCTGTGTTCTCACTGGTGTTTGATGTGAGTATTGTTTTTGTACTGTAGTTTGAATGAGGTCTGAAAATGATCATAGGCTATAGCCTAATGTCAAGACTTTGAGACACATAGTGTTTGTTTATACTGCTTGGACAGCTCATGGTCGCCTCTAATGGTAAGGGTTAGGCTGGACTTTCCATTAATAACAATTTTTGTAACATGCAGGCTTGAGAAAAAGGTAGATTTATTGTTGTCTTTGACTTTTTAGAATGATGTTCTTAATGTTGTAGAACTTGAGTCTGATCTTGGTCTCGAGACCATAAACTAGCGGTCTTGGTCTCGGTCTCATCTAGGTGTCAACCTCATTTGAACTCAGTCTTGTCTCGGTCACGGGGTAAGGTGGACTCTGATGTTGTTGTTGAAACCAGCCGAGTCTGATGCCTCTGTCTGAGGTTATTCAACAAAACCAGAATAAACAGAATACAACAGTCCTTTCTCCACATTAGGGGTTCCAAAACTTTTGCAACTTGTGGCCCACATAAACAAATACTTCCACAGATTTAAGCAATCTTTTTCTGACTCACCTAATAAGATGGCTGGTTTAGCAACTACAGTGTGCTAGATGTCAGGCTGAAGAGTTGAAAGCTGCAAGCAGTGTTCTGACTCAGTTCAGCAGATTTAGATATATATTCACTGTGTTTAGTCTCTGAGTGACGGTGTAAATTGTTGTGTTTTAAGGCTTCAACTGGAAAGAAACCTGAGCAAACAGCGCAGAGCTGTAGTTACTTGTTTTCAGTTCCCATAAACGTGAAGCCCAGAGCTACGTATTCACTTATGAATACATAGCTTATGTATTTCTTTCATTTCATTTTACTTGTGTGTTTGTTTTATTTTGGTTTATGCTTGCACTGAAAATAAAAAACATAAATAGCTAACATTTTGCCAAAACAATCAACAAATTCGATATAAATAGAATGTCTTATTTTTGCAAATAATCAACAATATTCGTCATATTTAAATCTAAGTTTGGTTAAATGTCTGTTTTGTAGCCTAATGAATTATTGCGTAAAAAAAAACTGCAGTATGGTCACGGGCCACTGGGGGGCTGAAAACCACAGCTGGATAGGTTCAAATAAAATCTGCTGGTTGAGGATCTAAATGATTTCCGTGATGACTTAACTAAGTATTATTTGTTTGTTGATGTTCATTGCTTCCAAAGTTTAAATATCCCCTGAGGGCTAACTGTAATGTTGTTATTACTATGTTTTCATTTTTTCATTTATAAAAAAAGATGTAGTTTATATTCATTTGACTTTAGGTGGGGATTCTGAATAAGAATGGAACAGAGAATAACCTATATACATTTATATCGCTGTTGTCGGAACAAAACTCCATATCTCCTATTTTCTCGATTTTCAGTTTTTGACATAATTTGAAATTGCTTGTTGCCTTTTACATCGTCTGTAACTTTCATGATGAATGGACCAAAAGAAACGGCCCAAAATGGCTTGGAAAAATGTCTGGTTCCATTGACTAATTAAAAGTGAAGTATGTTTTTTCCTTCCCCTGTAAAGCTATCGTTTTGGAGATACAAGGTTTTCTTTCTACAACAGCGATGTCTGTGTGTGTGTGTGTATGTACATATATACATACATATATATATATATATTCCAAAAAAATGGTCTTGGTCTTGCCTCTGACTCGGCTCTAGTAGTCTTGACTACGACACTAGGTGTTCTACATGGCTGCAGCACAGTGTTCATGTTCTCTACAGATAATTGTGAACTTGTATCAAACAAGTTTATTTGGTAGACTCTTAATATAGCTTTATATGATGAATGCTTTTGTTAACATGATTCTTTAGGCTTTTGTTTCTTCTCTGTTCCTCTCTAGATGTGTATTTGATGTCAGCTGACCAGCTACACTATAGTTCTTGATAGTCCTTGAAATTTTAATGATATTCTCTTCATCTGGTTTTATAGCTTCAGATCAAATCCCAGTGTCCACCATCACAGGCTTCAAATAATGTAATTATAATTCAGATACCACATAAATGTATGAACCCAGTGGATAGTCCTCATATTATTTGTATAGCTTTTTGTAACCAAGCTATAGCCTGAGACAATTCTTTCTCATGCAAGACTGAGCTTTGCTAATTCTGGAGATCAATGTGGTCTTACACTGCCCTCTACTGGATTTAGCTTCAGCCACACTGTAATTCCTATTTGAAACACAGTGATTTATGTAGGCTAGGCTATATTGAGTCCACAATAGTTTCCAAACTTTTTTTTAGAACACATCATATTACAGAACATATAGCTGGGTGAAAATGTTCAGACTAGCTGGCCTAGAACAGGAACAACAGCCTGTTTTAGACTCAGAGAGCCTCTGGAAATGGGCTACAGAAGTAAATTTCTATGCCAAAACATTATCTTTGAATTCACAAATAGGTAAGTTAATCACATAGATGGCTTGCTAAACAGCATGATGTAGTTAAAGATAAAGACTAGTCCTGCTTATACTAGCAATCCCTACTTGATTTATAGTGAGTGGAATATCCTTCAAGACATAATAATAATCTCACAGAGACGTTAACATAACATGTTCAACAAGTATATCTGACATAGGCCTACTGACAGTAATCCGCCAATATATTTGCTGATTACTTCTCTTACATTTGTGTTATTGTATGTAATCTATTTATTCTCAAAGACAGTTCCTTCTATGTGACTCAGAAGGCCAAAATGATGTTTTTGACTCACTACTCAACACATCAGATTCTGTTGTTTTCCAACCATGAAACTGCAATATCTGTATGTTTTATTAAGGTAAATCGTAGTTGTTGTTATAGCTTTATACAAACATGTAGGAGATCATTCAGACACTGTGTATTTTTCTTGAGTAAAATTGATGCATTCGAAGGCCTGAAAACACTCACTGTGATGGAGAATAAGAGCATCTAAGAGCATCGCTCAATCGACTGGTCAAAATCTTTTTCCTGACAGTAACCATCAGCCTGAATAATGTATAATTTTACACACTATTCTATTTACATTGTTTTGTACGGTACCTTTTTCTGTTGGTGTTCTGCTTACTCATGCTGTTTTGTGTCCTATCAAGGATACAAATTTCCCCTTTTAGTTAAGTCTATCTATCTATCTGTCTGTCTGTCTATCTATCTGTCTGTCAGTCTTCCTGTCTGTCTGTCTTTCTATCTATTAATCAGTGTCTCTCTGTCTATCTGTCAGTCATTCAGTCTTCATCATTCAATCATACAGTCTGTCTATCTATCTATCTATCTATCTATCTATCTATCTATCTATCTATCTATCTATCTATCAGTCAGTCAGTCAGTCTGTCAGTCTGTGTCTGTCTCTGTGTATTTATCTGTCTATCTATCTATCTATCTATCTATCTATCTATCTGTCTATCTGTCTGTCTGTCTGTGTAATCTGTCTCTCTATCTATCTATCTATCTATCTATCTATCTATCTATCTATCTATCTATCTGTGTATTTATCTATCTATCTATCTATCTATCTATCTATCTATCTATCTATCTATCTGTCTGTCTGTGTGATCTATCTATCTATCTATCTATCTATCTATCTATCTATCTATCTATCTATCTATCTATCTGTGTATCTATCTATCTATCTATCTATCTATCTATCTATCTATCTATCTATCTGTCTGTCTGTCTGTCTGTGCAATATGTCTATCTATCTATCTATCTATCTATCTATCTATCTATCTATCTATCTATCTGTCTGTCTGCCTGTCTGTGTAATCTGTCTATCTATCTATCTATCTATCTATCTATCTATCTATCTATCTGTCTATCTGTCTGTCTGTCTGTGTAATCTGTCTCTCTATCTATCTATCTATCTATCTATCTATCTATCTATCTATCTATCTATCTATCTGTCTGTCTGTCTGTGTGATCTATCTATCTATCTATCTATCTATCTATCTATCTATCTGTGTATCTATCTATCTATCTATCTATCTATCTATCTGTCTGTCTGTCTGTCTGTCTGTGCAATCTGTCTATCTATCTATCTATCTATCTATCTATCTATCTATCTATCTATCTGTCTGTCTGTCTGCCTGTCTGACTGTCTGTGTAATCTGTCTATCTATCTATCTATCTATCTATCTATCTATCTATCTATCTATCTATCTATCTGTGTATTTATCTGTCTATCTATCTATCTATCTATCTATCTATCTGTCTGTCTATATTTCAAAATCAATGCCAATTTTCATTTCCAGTGGCTACACTTCAAGAATAATAAGTATAACATTAAGATCCCGTGTTATCTACATCGTACAGCTGTGATAATTTGGTAATTATAAAACATGATTATGTCAGCGCGTTGTTGCTCTTGAATGAAAGCGCTGATCCACTGCATACTTTCCTCAGCTTATCTGTATGGATTAGCGCGCGCTGTTTTCCTGAGCGACAGCAGGTGGCGGTGTGGCTCTGTGAGTCAGTGAGGAGTCCTGCACGGCCACTGCGGACTCTCCGCTCTCCTCGTGCTTCTGGGATACTGGAGGATTTGCTCGCTGTATAATGTCATGGCGACCATCATGGAGCAAGTTTTTCACGGTTTCGTAACTGCTGATAAATCTGGGAATCAGAAATAGAGGTTCGTGCATTTAGCTTAAATCCCAATACGCTGCTATATCGATGTGATTTACCGTACAGTGACAGTTACGGCCAGTGAGAAACGCCTAACGTTAGCTTTAAGTCGCTAGTTAGCACAGTTAGCTGGGCGGCCGGTGGCGCCTTTGTTAGCGGTACAAGCGGTCAGCTGGTCTGTAATGTGAGAGTAATGTATCCATTTTATTACTGATGCAGTTCCAGTTTTGCTTCGTCCACGCGGTCGAATACAAACGTCGACCTTGTTTGTGGAGTTAAATGCAGAATTTGTGGAGCCGATGCTGGCTACCTACGTTTGCTCAGCGCTGATTAGCCTGAGCTGGATGTGGCCGTAGGCCTAGCCAGCTGTTATGTGTAGTTAGCTAACTGACTTTAGTGTTTGGTAGCTGTTTTAAACGCCGTCTCAAGCTTAAAGTTGATATGTAAATGAAACGTGATGTCTTTAACCCCCGTTCTTTTCTAACACAGTAACTGATTTGTATCTGTATTAGGCCCATGTGCATATAGACCGTTGTGTGGCTTGACGAACCTTAAGTCAGCTTACCATTCGCCAGCTTCCTATTCGAATTTCCCCGTTCCACCTTAAATGGTGCAGCAGGTAAGTTACACTCTGGCGGCTGGGGAATGTAACAGCTGCCCCATTTAAGGTGGAACGGGAAAAATCGAATAAGAAACCAACTTTAGCCTCGTTGTCGCTCGTCAGGTTAGCTAACGTGAAGTATCCAGGCAGCGTGTTGGCCCGGACAGCGCTAACCGACTGTCCGTCCCGCAGTGAAACCTCCACTGTCCTGTCCTGCGGATCTTTATCACCTCCACACTTCTGACCCACAGGTTCACCACAAATGGAGAATTTGCTGCAATATTGTCTCAGCCATTTGCTGTCTAGCTGTTTTTTATGATGACGGTCCTAGTCTGCTAGCCGCAGGTTAGCCTGAATGTAACCGTTAGCTAGCTCGCTAAGTTAAACGACTTCTAGAAGCGTCTGTGGATCTTTGTGAAGAGCTGGTCCAGCTCGAATAGCGTTCGCTAGCTGTGCTATATCTGTAGACGTTTTATTTTCAGTGGTTTAATATGCTTAGTTGTTGTTGTTGTTGTTGTTGTTTTTGAACGTCATTTATATATTAACTTCAAAGAAATATTAGCTTTCCTGCCGACAGCCGAAAATCCAGCGTGGAGCAGCGAGTCTTGGCGGGAGTTGTTTAATGTGCAGTGGGTTTGAATCGGTTGCTAGCAACAGTGTTTACTTGCACTATGCCAATATTTCACTGGCCATAGACGTGCATTATAAAGCAGTGTGTAGCCAACGGTATATTGACTGCATATACTACGATAACCACTGCGATTAAAGGGGAATTGCACAGATTTTTTTTAAAAGATGGGTATAGTTCGATGGTTATGACGTAAACAAAGTATTTTTTGTTATAAACAGATGTGAATTAATTCATTTGTAGAAAAATTTACCAACACAGATTTTCTTTACAGTGGTGGTGAAAGGAGCCAAAAGTCCCAGTGTCCACAATACAAATTAGCCATTGTATGTACTATGTGTACTTTGCACTTTGTATGTGTAATGTTGTTGATGTCAAAATAATGGTCAGTCTGAAAAAATGTTTTCTATGGAGACTATTTTGCTTTAGAACATCCTTACTTTGTCTTTCCACCATGAATGGATTAAATTACATTGATTAAAATATGATTTAGGCCAAAACTTTATCACACAACTACCAAGAAATAACGTCGCAGATGTCAGACAGCATATTCATAACCATTTCATGCAGTAACTTTCTGTGAGGGCACTTTTAGAGGTGGACTCCAGGTTCCTATCACCACCACTGAACAATTCTGACTCGGCAAGTTTTTCTAAAATGAAGCATTTCACACCAAACCACTGTGAATGACTTTGACATGTTAACCATTTAATCATTCAATTTTGAAAAATCAGCAGAGTTCCCCTTTAACTTAGATCAGTTACTAGTACTAGTTTAGCATGTTGGCCAGAGATTTGGACAGAACTTCGTATTTAAACCGTTTAGTAGAACAGTGGCATGTTGGGAATCAAAACTGTCTTTAAAAATCTGCACTTCATGCTGTTCTACCATACTACATGCTTTATTTCCTTTTTCAGTCGAAAGCAGGTAACTTTAGCAGGGTCTGTTTGTTATGCAACGACTTCATTAGCTAAGTGCAGAGAGACGCTAACCAGCTATCATGTTACTACAGTACCAAATAGATCAGATCTTATGTGATATCAGTTACACTAATACAGTGTGAAAACGTGTGCAGTGTCTGATTTTTCATCATTAAAGTTATAACTGTATTTTTCTCTCCGCCCCCTCAGAGTGAACTGTGAGGATCACTTCATCTCCCATTTCACAGTTCAAGTCAGGTTGAAGGGGTGAAAGATCCCAGTTTGCCCCGGGTTCAAGAGGTCTGTTGCAGAGTTGCAGAAATGGAATGTGCAACAAATGCTAATATTGGTATGTGTCATTTTAATATGTATAAGCATGAAACATTAACAGGACTGAACATCACATTCAGTGTACACTGGTTTTGGCTGGCTTCATCCTATAATCAACTGTTCCGGTCTGTTTGTATTTAAACGTTTATTCTTCCACCATGTTTTTTTTTTTTTTAAACTACCACCGTGTACTCTTCTTCTTTATCTTTTTCTTTATCTTTTTCTTTTTCTTCTTATTATTATGACTTTTAAGCTTATTGTTTTGTAATTAGAGGCTTTTTTAATAATAATAATAATAATAATTATTATTATTATTATTATTATTATTATTGTTATTTCCATTAGACCATGTAAGTAAGAATCTAGATTGCATTTACAAATTCACTCAGAAATTAGGGCTGTAATGATAAATGAAACAGAAATTAGTAATGCTTGATCTGCTGCTTGGCAGATAAAATTGCAGTTATACCACATAATGTTAATTTTACACCCCTCTTACATTGATTCAATGGAATTAATTATTCTACATAATTTTACAAAAGTCACATTTAAGCTAAAACATACAAGTGAAAAAAGACTGGGCTAGTCTGTTTATCTTAAAGATTTTAGATTGACAGGCTTTCTAGATTTAAATATAGAGCTACAGGTCATCTACCATTGATTTTTGTGGTCTCATTCCAGGTTTAATTTAATGCAGTAATTAGAGCTGCAACGAAAATTTGATAACATTGGATAAAATCAGTAATAAAATATTCAGTAATAAAAATCCATTTAAATAATCAACATGGTTATTACTGCTATGAACAACAACAAACATTTATCAAGCCAATTACTCCCTCTCACCCGTAGCACATAGCTGCAGCTCTGCTGTCCAGACTCAAAGTGGACTCACAATGGACTCTGACATTGCAGATCCGTGTATTTGAATATGAAAGATGATATTTGATAGAATATTTCAAAATAAAAATATTTGATAGTTGCAGTGCTAGTGGCAATAGCAAAATGCTGAGCAGTGCTGGAGGTCATCTAGTGGCAGCGCACATCGAATGTCAGTGGCATTTATTTATTTATTTTTTTTATTTAAAGTGAATCTTCGTTAAAATAGTTTCAAAGTTTTGGCGCTGCAGTGTGCAATAGCCTTTAGGTGGAATGACAGTGCCTTAAGCAGTTTGCTAGAGCTAGTCAAACTTTTTGACGCACCAAAATGAAAATTCTAGACCAAAACCAAAATTCAAATTGGCTGTTTTGTTAATGCTTTTGAAATAATATTGTTACTCAAAAGGAACTGACAGAGAACCAGAGGGTTGCTTTAATTTTAAACAGCTTATTAAGTATTATGAAACATTAAAAGTTGTAAAATTATGAAAACGTAATACTTAATGGCTTTCCAAGACTTCTGTAGCTGAATTCTAGAGTGCCTCTGCTATGACGGAAACCATCTTATATTTCAAATATGTAAAGTATGTGGGCATGGCTTTGGAAATGTTAGTCATTTAGAGAAGAAATAAACCCCAGCAGGATCTGACAGCTGCATGTGTTCACAGTAACAACTTTCAAAACAAGACATGAAGTTCATTATTGTAATATACTGAATTTAATCAGTTACATAGTTTTGTTCGTCAATTTCATAAAATCAGTTAAAGATAAAAACATGTGAGCTAAAGAGCGCTGCTGCAGCAGACTGTTTGTATTTCCCTGGCCTATTTTCCACTGCATGGCAAAAAAGTTCTGAGCACCAAGGGTAACTATTCCAGTGGCTTTTCCACACAGACATGGTTCCATACGGAACACTTAAAAACTGGGCTCAGCACATTTGTTTTTTCACACAGTTAGCTGTCCGTGCTCAGGGCCCCAGAACTGTTCGGTGGGATGTCATGACGATACAGCTGCACACTGATTGGTTCTACGTTTATGTCGATATTGTTTCACCACATCTTACTGCATTATTTCAAACTCAAAAACAAATACATTCAGTTAGCTCACACAGACGCCAAATAAATGAAAGCATGCATTAGCTTAGCTAGCATGCTGCCAGCTCTGCTCACCACAGAACAGGTTTGAGTCTGGCTGACATAACTCAAATCTGAGGAAGCGAAGTTGAGCAGCTGATGTTAGAGGCACAGAAAGCCGAAATTAAACGTGTTCTGTGGTGTCTCTCTCCTAGCTAACTTAGCTTAGCTAAAGTGATCCAAACACCCCTGTATGGGTTTGATTTGACAAATTGGTGCTCTGCTATCACAGGTATAGATGACAGCTACTTATAACAGTGTGAGCAAAGTTGACTGATTAGTGTTGGGGTCACAGGAAGCTGAAGTCGAACCTGTTCTGTAGTGTTTTAAGCTGTAGCCTGCTTGACTAGGCTAACGCAAGTGTACGGTGACATTTGGCTTGACAGTGGAAAAGAGACCAGTGTTCATGTGGTGATGCTGAAAAACTTTGAACTTGCCTTTGACCAGCACAGGAAGACAAAGGGAGCAAACAGTGTTTTTATCATGATTTCTCATTGCCATTACTATTGAAATTGTTTGTGTTTGTGTTTATTTTAACATACTTAATTGTAGACCTTTTTAACCTTTTGCTGTTTTCTGCTATTTTTAAGCCGAAAACTTACAGGGCATTTGCTGAAATTTCAGTCCCTAATGACGCTGACTTAGTTGTGCAGTGAAATTTAAACACATTGTAAACATTAGAGAGCAAATAGTGACACTGCTGGGCTGTATTCATGCAGCATCTTCGAATATTGGTGAATTACGTTAAATCTTGTCATATGGTTGCCTTTCTTCCTAACCAGCAAGCTTGCTAGATCCTTAACTTGCTTATCAACAGGACCCATCTTGTGATATATTTTAAAACTATTGCTGCAATAGCCAGTTTCTGGCATGCTTTAGAGCTTAGGGTTTGAAACTTTGAAACCAGTTTTAGAGTTTTAAACTACATTACCTCTGTTGTGTCTGAACCACTCTAGCATGTGGTGATTACATTAGTGACATTATCAGGGAAGCATAGCTGTAGGTGTCTTTTGATGCAATTTATTCAGGGTATGTACAGTCATAAAAATTCTGGAAAAGTCATGGAATAATTACAACAAAAAAAAAAACCTTTTCCAAGCCTAGAAAAGTTTTAGGGTAAATGCTCTAAAGGTTTTGGAAAAGTCCTGGAAATCACTCCATTTACTGACTTGATTTAAAATCTGTTTTAATCTTAAGTAGGAAAGTAAGATTTGTTCCAACGATGAAATAATGTGTCATTTCTAGGCCTTTCAGTATGAGCTTAACAAAGGCATGTCTCTTACAGGTGATGCATCTGAAACTGCTCTGTGTGAAGACATTGCTCTCAGGGACGGTAGCGAGACATCTTGGAAGAAAAATAAGAAGCATAAAAAACACAAAAGTAAGAAGAAGCGCAAGAAGAGAAAGGGTGAAAAAGAGAGCAGCTCTGAATCTGGAGTTGAATCAGATGGAGAATCTCAAGCAAAACTGAAGTAAGATTTGGCTTGTTGTGCATTCGAAATAAAACACTAGACTACACATGCGTTCCTATCATATCACAAAGCATGTTTATGGGGAAAAAGCTTTATGAAAATATTTTTGTTTAATTTAACCAGTATGAAAAAAGAAGGCCCATCTACCATTGAGACTCGAGGTCATGATGAGGATAAAGAAACCACAAGAAATTCCGTTGCAGGTAAGAGTTTATTTGATCATTTATGCTTATTATGGTTTTGATTAGAATGGCAATATAATACTAAACTAAATGTGAAACTTGCGCAGCCATAAACCTAATTTGTCAGCAAAGTGCATTTTCCATATGTTGCATCTGTCTTTTTTGACAGAACATCGTGATGACGACGATGGCAAAGTCAGAAAAACAAAGCGTCATGCAGGGAAAAAGAAGAAGAAAAAGAAACGAAAAGAAGAAAAGCAAGAGAGAAATTCTCCTTCTCGATCACGGTCAGCCAGTACATCAGAGTCAGGGTCAGAGTCAGAATCTGAATCAAAAATGGTGCAAGCATTGCAAATGGAGTCACCTAACTTGGGCAGGAAGTCTCCTATGGGTGCAGTGAAGCTCTCAAATGATGGGTATAAAGAAAAAAATTCACACCCAGATGAAATAAAGGGAGATGCGACCAGCAAAACTGAACATTGTGAAGAGAAACACACAAAGTCTGCATGGAGGAAAGATGAGTCTCCTGAGGATACATGTGATCAAGCTGTAAATAGAGAAAAATACAGTGAGAAGGACACAAAAATAGAGAATTTTGGGAAAGGTTTTAGCAAAACTCAGGAACTCCCTGATATTATCCCCAAACAGGAGAATGTCCACAAAGAGCAAGTCAGCCAGAAGGAACCAAATGGAGATAAGAGAGGAAAGAAGGATCCTGAGAAGTCGCTCTCCAGGTCAAGGTCCCAATCACTTTCGGACAATAAAGGGACTAAATCGAGCCACAGTCGATCCAGAACTCCAAAGCGATCTTCTGGTATGCCAGCGCATCGAAAAGATCAATCTCTCTCAAGAGAAAGGTCGGTTTCTGGCCCAAGAAGAAAGAAGGGTGTGCAAAAAAGACACTCAAGGTCTCCATCAGAAAATCAAAGATCTCGATCTAGATCAGTCAGGGGAACAAGACGCAAGTCAAGGTCCCGCTCTGGAAAGAGAAGGAATCGCTCTGGCTCCAGGTCCCGTACCAGGGCCAAGAGATCTAGGACCAGGTCCCCACGGCGCAGCCGCCGAACAAGATCTAGATCTATTGTAAAGCTACGCCGTTCAAGGTCAAGGTCAAAAAGATCAGTTTCTCGCCGAAAGAACCGTGGTTCAAAATCACGCTCCAGATCTGCTCGGAGAGGCAGACGTTCACAGTCACGTTCTCGAAAAAGGACACCGGTATCCCGTACAAGAAGATCTCGGTCCAGGTCTGTCAGGAGAATGAGACGAACCCGTTCAAGGTCCATTGTGATTCTCAGGAGGTCTAGATCTCGATTGAGGCGAAACAAAAGGTCTAGTTCAAGGTCTGTTCGTAAAATCAGATCAAGGTCTAGAACTCCAAGACGACGTAGCCGATCTCCCTCTCCACTGCGCTCCAGGCACTCTAAATCAAAATCCCCTGTTCGGCAGAGAAAGTCAAAATCTCCACGTAGAACAAGGTCAGAATCAAGGTCTCCTAAGCGCAACAAGCGTTCAAAATCACGATCTGTCTCGCGTCATTCAAAGACTAGCTCACCTAGATTTAAAAGAGGAGCAAAGAAAGTTAAAAGTAAGCGATCAAGATCTGTTTCACAGAGAGACTCATCCAGGTCTAGATCCAATTCAAGAGAAAGGGTTTCCTCAGATAGAAGTCAGTCTCCGGCTAAGAGCAGGTCTAAATCTCCTGCTGAAGAAAGAGAATCTTCAGTGGAATACCATAAAGATTCTGATGGTAATAATAAAGAAATGTCAGAGTCCAAATCACAGAAACCACTGTCTCATGAATGTGCATTTCCACACAAAATATCAAGTGAAGACTCAACAAAATCAGAACTTGAGTCAAAAAAAGAAAATGCCACAAGAGAGTCCAAGACCACCTTGGAATGCAGAGAGAGGCCAAACACATCTAGATCAAGATCCTCTTCATCAGAACCATTACCTCAACATGAGAGTACTGGCTCAGATGATAATGAGCAGTCTGATAATTCAAGATCACCTTCACCAAGTCCAGTAAAAAAAGAATCGGGGTTAAAATCCAGCAGAAAGTCCAAGTCACCTCTTCGTAGGAAGCGCTCCAGGTCCATATCATCCACCCATAAGACACGGTCCAAATCAAAGTCTGTTAGTGGTAGGGAAAGGTCCAAATCTCCAAGAAAACGAAAGTCTAGATCTCCCTCGCACAGCCAAAGGAAGAGATCAAAATCCAGGTCACCTGTCCGGAGAAGGAGATCGCGTTCAAGATCAGTCAACCGTAGGGGAAAATCAAGGTCTAAATCTCGCACTAGGACCAAGCGCTCAAAGTCACGATCTCCCAAAAGAAAACGATCCAAGTCTAGATCACCAGTCCGAAAAAGACGGTCTAAATCACGCTCTCCTGCTCGAAGGAAAAGATCCAAGAGTCCAGAAAAAAGCAAAAGATCAAAATCCCGTTCCCCTGCCAGGAAAAGACGGTCACGATCTCGGTCAAAATCACGGGCCCGCCATTCACGATCTAAAAGATCTCGCTCTGCTTCTCGCCGGAGGAGACCTGCATTTCGAGGTCGTTCTTTTGATAGACGAGATCGATGGAAACGTGAGCCAAGCCATTCACCCATTCTCATTCTCCGTAAAAGAAGGTCCACTTCGAGAACACGTCGTAGCTCTAGCAAGACACCACCTCGTCTCACTGAGCTAGGTAAGAGAACTTTTTTTATGCAGTTGTCTATGCAGTCGAAAATATTATGCACTTGATGTTCATGTGTGTTTTCACTTTTCTTCTTCACAGACAAAGATCAGCTATTGGAGATCGCTAAGGCTAATGCTGCTGCCATGTGTGCTAAAGCAGGGATGCCCATCCCAGAGAGCCTTAAGCCTAAGGCTATTCTCCAGTTGCCTTTGCCAACTCCTACTTCAGCCCCTTTGTCTTTGCCTCTGCCCCTTCCAGTTCCCAACTTGCCCATGAACCTGCCGATGGGCATACCTGGTATGCCTGCGATGCCAAACATGCCTATGAATGCTGCTGTGGCTAGCATGACAGCAGCCACTATGACCGCAGCCCTATCTAATATGGGAGCCTTGGCAGCTATGCCCCCTATGCCTCCACTGCCCACCATTACCAACAAACCTCCTCCAGCACCTACACCTAATCTGGCCAACATCGAAGAAGTAAAGAGAAAAGTGGCACAGCAGGCTAACAGCATCAGTATCAAAGAGTTAACAGAGGTGAGATGAATTGGTTGTTGAGTGGCAGGTGAATATGAAAGGTGTAATTCTATGCTACCTATAATAATTTGGAGCGTGGTTGTAATTTCATAACTGCTGTAAAATTGTGATTTACCATCAGTGTGTAAATTGTACTGTTGATTTGCTTTCAGAAGTGTAAACAGATTGCAGAAAGCAAGGAAGAGATGAGCATCGCAAGGCCCCATGTTTCTGATGATGACGATGACGACGACGACGATGAAAAACGGGTAAGAGGTCTTATTCAGTGATGCCTAGTTGTGTTTACGATAGAGTCACAGGCACTGGAACAAACTTTAATTAGCAAGCATACACATTCGGCAGAAGTAGTTTAATTAATCGGTTTCCTGAAATTAGATCTTTTTGTTAAAACCCAGGGAACTTAAACATGTTTTCTTTGTAGTTAGGTTAATGAGGCTCTTGTGGGCAAAAATATGTATGTACAAAAAGCAAAGCACTCAAAGGAGCTTCACACAGATTTATACGATCTCACGTGTCTGAGACTTTTGTTCCTCCTCCTGCTAATGCTCTACCAGTGTAGAGAGGATGGAGATGAAGTGCTTCGACCCAGACTAAATAAATAGAAGTAGAAAGATTTCCAAAGAACCAAAAAACTAGATAAAAAAAACAGATAATTTGGCCTGTAATTTTCTCAGGGTGGAGGGAGAAACAGACATGGCTGATCACCTGTCAACGAGGAAATTACCTCAGGACCCTTGAAATGAAACCCTTCCAAAAAGGGCTTTAGTGTCAGCTGTTTGTGTTTGAAGTCCAAAGAAGCTCATGTTGACATCCCATAAAAGGAGCGTAAAAATCTTGTGTAAAGGCAGAAGACAGCCGTGTTGGATCTGTGCATGCTGGTCCATTCAGGGCTGTTCAGACTAATGTCAGGTGTAGGCCACATTATAAAGACAATGTGGTTGCCCTAACAAAATGGATTTGGGCAGTAAGTTGTAAAACCCTTAGTCAGTGAAAGCTAAATAGTGAGCCAAAGCTAATATAGCAAGTATAACCAAAAGCTAGCAGGCTAGCTCATTTGTCTCTCTTCCTGCTCTCATCTATTTGTCCAACCAGCGATCATATCTAAATATATCTGGTTTCCTTCCAAATTTTGCTGGATATTTCATATAATACTCAATGTTGGTCCCTTGCAATAATTTTAAATATTTTACATTATGTTCTCTGGGACTTTAAGCGTTGTGTTTGCTGTAGTACAGTTCAGTGTTTAGTTATAAACTTCACTGTTCATCAAATGAAAGAACACAATCTCACTGAATATTTGTTTTTAGTAAGGCCAGAAACATACTTACTGCAAGAACGTGAACACCACCCATACAGTGCACTGCAAACACGCAGTCCTGCAGCACAAACTCACCCTGTATTCTTACGTTGCTGTTAAAACACTGAGTTCTTAATGGGCGATAGAGCACAAATCTAAGTGTCTGTAAACGTGATCTGCTCTAATTCCACCAGCTGCAACGATGTTGCCATGTTCTGTTGGGGTGAAGAGGTGATGGACCATATGTTTATATGAGTAAACAAGTTTTGTGAGACTCATCAAACTGGTGGTCTGCTGTCACAGTTGCCTGGATGCACTGGCGGTACAAAGCAGCTTGGCTGTTGCTATAGCGCCCCTTACCGCAACACTCAGAATGCAGCTTGCGCTGCGTTATAAATTGCGTCATGACATGCGCAACATGGTGTTTGCGTACTTGCTTGAAGTATGTTTGTAGCCAAAGTACACAGACTTCTCACAATGTGATAACTAATTTAGTTAATTAAGTCAATAAACAGTAAATATTCATTAACAAAACAAGTTTTTTTTCTCCTTCCTCCCCCCACCCTGCAGTAACCAACTGTGCTGCTTCGTTATCTGTTTCCCCTACCCATGGTTGATGAAGAAAGCGGAGATGAAGTGTCAACACTGGATATTAATGATCTGTAAATCCAGGAGGCAGACCTAGTTCCAGTGGATATTTCAACAGTCTCAACACTTTTTCCTTAGCTGATGACACCACCGTAGGCAGCAGATTTCTTCTTGCCTCAGGACTTGATCTACTAGACCGGATCATTTTGTTCATCTTCAGATGGATTAAGGGGCTTACAGTCTCTTATACAGTGAAGCAAAAGCACTGCTTGGTCAAATTCAAAAGTATTATTTGACTTTCAGTGTGGTCTGTCTGTCTTGACAGTTGAAAGAAGCTTATTTCAAGCTGCTCTTTTGGATATTTGGTTAACAAGGTAATAATTTTACTCCACCCAGCCCCGCACCTCATCTCATTACATGTAAATCTCATCTATGAAGTACTTTTGTGATCAGGAGGACTTCACTGTTATTTGTTCTTAACATTTTTGTGAAGTTTTTTTTTTTAGTCATTAAAATTTGAGGACAACATTGTGACTGCTCTACTTCATGGACAATATTTTCCTTAGTGTTGCAGTTGTAGTGTGCCGTTGTATCTGACCGACAACTGGCTTGTAAACATTGTTGGCCAGTGTCTGCTGGCAGTTGACCATTTTAGCCTGGTTGGAAACACTTAAATCTGAGTGGACCTACATGTGTCAAGCTTTTTGAGGGAGTTCTTGTTTTGAGGTGTTTATTTTTAGATCTCTGAATGGATTCAAAAGGGGCACACTATTGGTTTTAACAGCGTAGGAGGTGTACAGTACTGTTTTATTTTGTCATTTGAATTGATTGAAAATTGTATGTGCTTTTGCCCAGTAGAGGCTCGTGTTGGGGTGCTTTGTTTATGATAGCTGTAGAATTTTACATCAACATTCTTGGCAAAGGGTGATGGAAGAGATAAGAATGCATAATATTTACTGAGAACAAAAACTGTTTCTTGTTGAGACACCTGTACATTATGCTATACTGTTCAGTGTGTAGCCTAGGTGTTCATTTCCTTTACTGTTATTTGTTTATTCTTCCTTTGCGTGTATCCTTTTTTTGGTACTGTTTCTTTAGTTTGTGCAGAGATGCTCATGTCCAGTCAGTTCAAGGCTGATTAAAAGAGAGAAATATTTCCACTTTAAGATCGGCCACAGGAAAGATTTTAACCATTAATTTAAATCGCACATGCTGTCTCTCCAAGCTTCAGATTTATCCTAGTAAATGCAGTCTTGTAGAACAATGTTATGCACACAAAATAAATACACATGCACGTGTGCTATTTTCACTTGTCTGTCAACCCTAGAGGAGCACTGCCAGTGAAAGGTGTAATTCAACACTGTGGGTAAAGTATGTTTTTGCCACTTTCAACACTTCCCCCACACTGACACAAAATGCTTGGTCTCTCACTAGAAGGTCTGTTTTGTGAATAAAACACTGAGTAAAAAACAATTGGCAGAAGTGATTTGAGCCAGGATTTGTACAGTAACGTTTAAGTTGGGTTCAGGGTTTTGGTTGGGGAAGTTTGGAGACAATGGTTAAGAAGAAGTTATTTACAAGTCTTTTGCAGAGTACCCAAAGTTGTGACCAAAAATGTTTTAACTTTGTTTTGAATTGATTCCCACTGTTAGACCTTACCGATATAGGAAAATGGGAAATACTTCACTATAACTGTGAAATTTCTGTGATTATTCAGGACACTGGTCAAAATGAGTGGTATTGAAAACATAAAAGGCAGTGTATTTTGTATCCTTTGTATAGGCTCAAGTACCGCATTCCTAACATAAAGTGTAGTATCCTCAATTTTGATTAAACATTGCAATTTTTCCTCTGCCATAAGATTATGTTGCTTGCTTTGTACATAATGCAACCTTGATTATTAAAATAAATGACCATGATCACTGATTTTTTTTTATCTTTTTTTTTTGCTGACAGTTTTAGTATTACATTTAATATTATAGTTTCAAGCTTCTACAATTTCAGTAATTCAGTAATTCCCTCTACTTGCTAAATGATTTAATGGTAGCACAGCGGCTCAAAGCGTACACTTTTGGAGCAGTTCTTGTGTGAGGAGGTCTAATGAAAAGTTGTATTAGCTTATAATCCACAGAAATGTTGATAATGGACAAAAACTAAATCTGATGTAAAAATCTAATTCTAATGTTAAAATTCAGGTTTTACTGTATACCACTAGGTGGCAAATCGAGTTACATCAGTGGTACTCGGTCCTAATAATTGAGTTTTACATGTAAAAAAACTAGAAATACGACATTTCTAAATTAGAAATTTCTACATTTTACAGCTAAGTTTCAGTAGTAAGAAAACTATTTGAATATGTAATTAGACTTTCTACCTTGTAATTAAAAAAATAATCATTCAATTTCATACTTTTGGTAGAACAAATAATTGTACTTAATATTGAATTTTTGACATCAAAAATGTGTATTAAAAGCTAAAACGCCTTTTTTATTTTAGTTAAGAGAAAAAAAAAGTAATTTTCTTAAGTGATTGTGTGGTGAGGCTTGCAGGCTGCGTTGTCAGTCCACAGCCTGTCTTCGTCAAAGACTTCAATTTTGAAAAATCCCACTTCCTGTAACCCGCTGGAAAAAACGACTGTTCTGTTTTCACACGCCGCCAACATTAGCTGTTATTTATCATTTACCACGAATGAAGCAGTATTCAGATTGCCTAGAGAATAGCCCACCTTCATTAGAGTTTCAGCCGGATTATTATGCAGTGCTATAGGTTTCAGCATTGTCTCTATGAGCGAGCTGTTATTCAGAGTTTCCACAAGTGTGAGGGGAAACTCACTAACAGCTGTCTGAGCTGAGCTGGACTCGCAGTACAGCTAACATTATCTCTCTCTCTCTCTCTCACACCCACCCACGACGAAAACTAGTATTGTTGTTTTCACGACGAGTTTTTCAGTATTTCCACCATGGAGCAAATAGAGGTTGCGGTTGGCGACGACGACCCTGTTGGAGTGCATTTGATAGACCAGATAGACTGCCTGGTGGCGTGTGAGCTCTCTGAAGAAGTGTTCAGAAAGGAGCAGCTGAGGGTGAGTAACTCACTCACTGCACCCTGTTTATGGTTCTAACTGACCTGCTCTGTTTACGGCTGAAGTTGAAAGAACACGCAGTTACTTTATAAAGAGAGATTTTTTTTTTTACTAATTTGCGGCTAATGCTCATGGTTAACATGATAATAAATCAGCCAGGTTACAGAAAGGTAGTGGTTTTCCTTCTAAAGACGGAGAGAGTGACGAAGCCGCGGAACTTCTGACTTGCACAGATCACATATGTAGGTTACAACACTGCAACAGTCAGAGACCACCCTTCATTTAATTTCCAGTCAGATCGGTCATTAGCTACATGTTATTCAGCTATTTCTGAGAAGATAGTGTGTAAGATTTTTTACGAAGGAGCAAGGAAAATAAATTTGAAAAATGGCAAAAAATATTACAAAAGTTACAAAGAAAATGGGACTCATAACAACAGTGTATGACCTGATAGACCACCAAAACTGTCCCTATCAAATAAACAGTACTTAGCTTTCATTTTTGAGAGAGAGGAGACAATCAAGCTCATATATCTGAGTGTGTGTGTGTTTCTACACACAGTGCCTTTCAAATACGTTCAGCCCCCTTCAAAGTCATCTGATTTGTCTAGATTACAAATGACACAAGATATTGCCATAATGATGATAGGATGGCTTATAATTGGCCTTGAACTGTAATTAATTAAAAAAAAAAATGTTGACTTTTTCTGGACAAAAGGCCACTTAATTCAAGTGCCATTGGTCAGGCTGTAAATCTGTGAATCTGAAGGAAATTATAGATAGTTCTAGACATGCACAAGTAAAGGGAAAAAGCTACCAAGTGTTTGGAAATCAGAGTGAACACCGTTGGATCAATTGTGAGGAAATGGAAACTGCATCATACCACCCAGGCGCTGCCTAGACAAGGTCATCCTTCAAAACTCAGCGCTTAAGCAAGAAGGGCGCTCTTGAGCTTGAAGCTTCAGGGGTGCCATCACTTTGAAGGAGCTGTAGACTGGCTGAGACTGGGGTGAAGGTGTACCCATCAACAGTATCTAGAGCTTTGTGTATAACTGGCCTGTATGGGAGGGTGATAAGAAAGAAGCCAATACTGAACACATCAAAGCATGTCTGGAGTTTGCCAGAAAGCAAATATCCCCTGGTATTTAGGGGGTCCCTTGTTGGCTGGCTACTCCAGCGTTGGCTCACTGCTAAATCACTTGCCATAGCGGCGCTGAAGCTAGCTTCAGTCACAACAAATAGTGTTTTTTTGTTTTTTTTTTAAACAATTCTTCTTTTGGAACAATTCTTTTCTAGTTTGGTAATGGGATCTTCAACACATTGGTGCACTGAGATCTTACGCATCTCTTTTGTCTTTGTTTTGAGAAATGAGTAAGAATTCATTCTTTCCACTAATCTCTTGAAAAATTGGGCAGGTTTTCAGATTTACAAATATGCTATGGAATATAGCAAAGTTTTTTCAGAGGTATCTCAGGTATAGTTACTATTGCTAGGCTATGTAGGACCAACTGGGTAAACCAGTTTACTGCAGCACCACCCTGAGACAGCTGCATCTCTAGTTAAGAACACCAAAGACAGAAGCTTGCTGATTGTAGGTGAAGCAGCTAAACAGTGACCTTTCCCTGAATTTGTACTTGAGCATCTGCTTTAACCTAACAAACAGCATAACCTCACAATAAGTTTATTTTCAGGCACCCTCCAAAATTTTGATTTTAAGACATTTATGGGTCCAAGCAGTTAATTGGGAGGTCCCAGAACCCCCTTTACCCTTTACCCTTCAGCAGGGCAGTGATCTCAAGCAACACATCAGCGGTTGACCAACAAAAAGATAATTCTCCTAAAGTGTTGACGTCAAAGTCGAGATCCAAAAATCTGTATTTCTGTTTGAATAGTGTGGACCGCAAGTGTCATCCTACCAACCTAAACAACCTGGAGCAAATCGTCTGAGAAAATGGGCAAAAATCACTTTCAAACTGTGTGTGAAGCTGATAGAAACTCACCCCAACAGACTTAAAGCTGTTTCAGCAAAAGGTGGTTCTACCAAGGACGGGTCTAAAGAGGTTAAATACATATGCAAGCAGCATTTTTCAGTTTTTATTTTTTTAAAGGATCTGATGAGAAATAATGAACTTTGAAAATTTAATTTAAGAGCAGGCTGGTTTTAATGAAAAAACTGCTTGGAACAGTGTTTTGTGTAATCCAGATGAATCAGATGACTTGCGAGAAGGTTGAATACTTTTGCAGGGCACTGTATATTTTTATTAAAGTCATGCTAAATATGAGTTGTGGACGCATGATTTAACTCAGAAGTTCCATGGTGTGCTTCACTTTTTCCCTCTGTAGAAGGAAATCATTACCTTTCTGAAACCAACTGTACATTCTCTGGTTTGTGTGCCCCGACTGATTGATTTACCTGTTAACTGTGATCCCAGTTAACAAAAATAATAAAATTCTGACTACTGAGAAAAGTCCATTAGATGAAGGATGTGGTGATGTTATCTTATTTTATGAAAATGTGATTTTTAATAAATGTTTTAATGGGTGTTTATTAGGTTCAATATGGTCAACAAAGTTGCTTGTTATAGCCAGAGAACCTATATGCTTCTTATGCCTCTGATTAATTACTTTTCTTAGTACAGAAGCTGTCATGGTGATTTTATTTTCATTAGTCACTATGACTGTGTTCATATGGACTTTTATACATGGGGTTTGCAGCAGTTTGTTGTGTATTGTTTTGCTAGACTACAGCAAGTTGCCACATGCAGTAATGGTTCTCTTATCGTTTTGATAACTGAGGCAAATTACCTAGTGTTATGGTTGATGTTTGGCAGCTCTGTGACAAACTGATTGGTGAATGTTTGTCCCATGAAATGGTAGATTATAAAGGGCAGAATGTCTTGTCCCTGTTAATGTAGCTCAGTCCTGACCGTTTCCAAGCCTACTCTGGCACATTCAGGTTGGGCAGTTATCTGTGTTTTTTCCAAATGGGTCAGAAAATCTAGCTTGGTGGAAACTGTGTTTATGAGGAACAGGAAAATCATCTACTGACACAGTGAGATATTTACATTCCGAATGGAGAAACAGGCAAATGTGTTCCATGGTGTCTTGGATTGCGAAAACAGAAAATGTCTGTGCCCTGTGAACTGTGAAGGTGAATGTATTTTCTAACCAGCTTATTTTTTTCCCCTCTCTCCCTGTTTTTTTGACATTTAAGTCATTGGATCAAGCCTTAGGAAAAATAGCTGAACAAAAAAAAAAAATAAGTAAATAAATATTATACAGCATTTCATTACAGGAGCACCTTCCAAAGTGCATCATAGATCTCTGTCAAGATTGTTTATTTCATGATATACGTTGTTGCGAGTGGGCATTAGACATACAAGAAATATCCATGCTATATGATTAATACCACCTTTATTAAATACATAGAAATGTGATTTCTGTTATACATCAGCTGCTGTTCTTTTCAAAAACTCGCATCTGCTATTTAAAAAATTGTTACTGATGGATATACATCATTTTGGAATGAAACCCTTCACATGTAATTGTTGTGTAATTAGGCCTGTCACAATTATTAAGAAATTGACTAATCACAATTATTTAAGATGACTGCAGTTATTTGGGATGATTGCGGACAGCTTAAACAATTGCAGTCATTTTCCACAGTTATCAAATTTTACAGTCATATTATGCGTCAACAATGAAATGGATAGATTGAATAAATGTAAATAAAAGAAATATGTAAATGCATTTATTGTGACATCATTGGACTAACTTGGTGTTCTAACATGCTTAGAGGGCAACACTGAGTAATCTTTGTTTATTTGTTAGCTGTGTTGCTAATTCTAACATTTTTATATATACTGGCAGAATGTGTGTTTAGCTTATATTTTCACTCTGATGAAGAACAATGCTTAACTCTTTATATGTATATAATTCTTTGTTACTGTATATGTTTGTGGTAGTGTGTGTACAGTACTGATTCATACAGTGCAACCAGTGTTAGCTACTAAGTAAACATAGCTAGCAGGTATGGTGGGTAATCAGACAATTTAGCCACTTTAGGCTTGTATTTTAATAGTTCCAAACACGAAAACACAATTAAAAACCACAAATCATTAGTCGTATTTATTTATGACCTTTAATTGTTAGCTAAAATTTCATGACCACAACAGCCATAAGTGTAAATGCAAATTCTCAAAAGCTAATTTTAGGGCTGATCCCTGGTGTTATTTTGCTCTTATAACCTAAATTGGATAAAATGTGAATTGACGTAGCCTATAACTCTGTTAAACTTGAATAAGTTTTATTTTGTAGAGGATATGACTATGTGGTAATCAGAGGCAGCACCAATTTCATACCTGTTAACATCAGGCCAATATCAGCAAATGCTGGATTGCATATCAGAGGGGGAAAAAGAATGAATCTGATCCAATCTTGTAACAAATCTGTTCTGAACTAGCGCATACTCACAATGTATAATGTGAAGTTGTCATCTGTGTAATCCTTCCTGCGGGATAGTAGTGTTTGCGTAGTTTGAGCATGATGGCCTACTTTTAGATGACCACCTTAAGTGAAGTGCTTCAATTAAAAACAACTCATTATAAAGCTTAGTAGTTTTAAAGAAGTAATATTGGATTGTATCAATACCAACCAGTACTCATGGTTTCAATGTCAGTATCAGAAAAGAAAAAGAGATGTTGTGCAATCTCTAATGGTAATGCTGGTAAACATTAAAAATCTCAGTTTTTTACCACCTAAATTCATTGTTAAAACAACTGACTGTTACAGCAACTCCTGTTGAATGTTAAAAATGTAATGTTAATGGACATTTGGTGTAACCCGTATAATAGTGTCACTTCATTTCCACTTATTTTAAAATATTTTTTTAAATTGTACACATTGTGTTATGTTTAACAGTTTGATAAAATGATGCATTTCTCTGTTAGTGTATATTTGAAGCATGAGACTTGTTAAAGGTTTGTTCAGTCCATGCTTGGAACAATCCAAATAATACTTTAAGAATTCTCTGAAAATATTGATTGTACCAAATTATCAACACAGATTCGACTGGTCAAACAGATTGCTTGTAATTCAGTAATCCCTGTGAAAAATCTAATAAATACAAATTGTTGGTGAGTTACTCATTAGCATAGACCAATTTTTAAACTTAAAATGTGTCAGAGTACTCATGCTGTAAGATTTGGACTAAGCCTGGACTCAGTCAGCTGATAGTCTTGTGATGGAAGATTCCACAGTGGTTTATGTCTTTCATGGAAAGTCTGGAATGCACAAATGGAAAACTAAAGTTCATCTATTTTATGATTCAGGAAAGTCCTGTGAGGGACAGTGAGAACGAAACCAGAGAGAGCCATTAAAACTAAAGACAATGAGTCATGGAGGAACTTGACTTTAATGCAGTGCAGCCAACTTTCCTGTATGAGCTTTGCACTTCTGCACTGACCCATTGTAAGCTACCATGTGTGGTTTAGATGTTGACTGGTGGTCTTCTGTGATCTAACCTACTTACAAAATGACTAACACCTAAACCTTTTGTTATACAGAAACACACAAGCTATACTTATGCAGCTTGCTTGTGTAGTGTTTTTCCATAATGTTTAGCAACAGCCATATTTCGCTGTAATTGTACTGCAAAAGTATAGGATGGAAAAAGTATAGAAACTAGTGGTGAATAAATTACAGGCTTGTATGGGGTGAGTTGTTGACATACAATTCTTATTAATGTATATCAGAAAATATAGTTAAAACAATCAGACAGCACTAGCTTAGATAGACAGACAGACAGACAGACAGACAGACAGACAGATAGATAGAACATCATTGATCCCAAAGGGAAATTGCAGCTTAGTTACTAAATGTTTGTTTTAATGGCCTCACAACAGCACAGACATATTTCTGTGAGAGCGCTTGGCTCTTTTTTGGGTCGGGCACTGTATAAGCAAAAATGTTTGATACCCACTTATTTGTGCTTTAGATTATAGGTCATAACCATCCACTGTCGTGACAAAAAGCAATTTAAAAAAATCAATAAATTGTAGCATAGTCATATATAGATCTCATTATTTTCATTTTTTAAAACCATAGGTATTTTATAGTAATATTCAGTATATCTAGGACAGTTTTGTGGATTTGTGGATTCGTTGTAGACGTTATTGAGAATAAACCAGACAGAATCATGCATTCTTGAGGAGACATTTTAATAGAGATGTGATCAGATCACCATTTTGTCCATTTTCCCCAACAGAGAGCTGGAGCAAACAAGAATTATAGAGAGTGTTATCACCCTCAACTGGCCCAAACAATCTTGTCCCTCTAAGCCTTAAGGTTATGTACCCATGACAGAGAGGCGCAGAGCAGTACAGGAAATTCTAAGATGATCTAGGAGGATCCAGACCTTAGAGACAGAATGGCTGTTCTGATGGACAGAATTTGCATATAAGAATTATACAATCAACCACTTTCCAACAGTTTGTGCCAAAGTGGAGCAACAAAGCCAAAGGCCTTTTCACATGGAAAAAAAAACAAACCGTCAAAATGAAAAACCAGGTTCACTCCTTTTGATGCATGGAGCTCCGAACTGAGGCAGAGCCTTAAACTCCTCCAAACACACACACAGTGCTGCAGCAGAGCTTCAGCTGTGTGTCATAGTCTGAGTACCTGTGCTGATTTTTGTTGCCCCTCTTTCTAGGGTACTAAGCATGCCAAGCCAGGACATATGGGTGGAGGTAGAAATAGTGCAGGTCACTGTTTAGTCAAATGCAGCCATTACAGAATCGTTGTGTGGTGTCACTAGATTTGTGTGAGAAAGTTAAAGAGAACCCCTGGCTACTTTCACAGTTCTGTTACGTGATGGGAAATGACACAGCTACTTGACCAATGTACTGATAGTTCTAGGTTTGGATTCCTAACTGGACTAGGTTAAGTGCATTCTACTAGGTGGGTGGGGGGGGGCTCATTGTTCCCTAAAATCCGTAGTGTAGCGTAGTAGTAGAACATGTGGTGGAGCAGAGGATCACCCAGATCCCTCACCAAATGAACAGGAAATTGTTATATTCTACTATTGTGCCTTTATTTACCTTCCCTTTTGAACTTACTCATGTCAGCAGTTGGGCTGTCCAGCTACAGAACCAGTGCTTGGGTTGGCCGGGAATCTTCAGGTGAGATGAGTGGACCCCCCTCAGCTTACCCAGATACACTTTAGCCTCAAACACCTTACATCCATGCTGGGTAAATTGCAGCTCATAGCCATTAGACACGGGACCATAGCTAGCCAACCTCTAATCTTCCCCTGGACAGGTTCCGTTATTTTGGTTGGTAGCTGGAGTTCGTAGTGCTTACAAAATGGAAAGAAAAAGACTATGAACTCTACTTAACAGTTAATTCCAGTAGTGATGCCACCTCTGCGGACTTGGTGGCATGCAATAGCCTTATATGTGTGTGTGTTGTGCCAAAAACTGCCACCAGCTGCTGCAAGGCAGTAGACGGAAATGACTGAGGTTTTATGTAAAACGCCACCTGTCCGAGAAACTTCACAACCCTGCAGCAAGTGACTGCAGCTTCACACAACACTGTTTTGCTCTACATTTTCCATTCTACATTCTTTCGCTGTGTTTTATTTTGGTTTCACATTTCTGCTTTTCCACTGCCTCATGAGTGGTCTTCCTTCACTGGAACAATAGCCGTTTTCAACAAATGCGCACACACCAGGTGATGTCTGCACTGAATCATAGACTAATAAGCATTTAGAAACAACTGTGTCATCTCTGTGGTTATGACATAATGCAAGGACTATTTAACCTGATAGTAAGGCCTCATCAAAAAGACAGAGATAAACACAGAAGAAGAGTTGTGTTTGTTGGACTCGCCAGACGTGGAGAGAAAGACGTCATGTAGTGTAAAAATAAGTCTGACGTCTTGGAGCTGAATGCCACTTAAAATGATGGAATGGCTACACTGCAATAAGGACAAATCCACCAGCTCTGCAGTCATAGACAGAGTGAGGGATGGAGCAAAAAAAGAGAGGGAGAGAGACAGACATGAAGGGAATTAACACCCATGGAAAGTATGCTGCAGGGAGCTCTTGATAACACAGCTGCCTCTTTGCACAGCTCAGCTGATTTAGATTTTCCATCCAGCTCCACATGAAGGGGAGGGCGGGGTAGGACAAAGAGTGAGTTTGTGTATGAGTGAAAGAAAATTGTGTGATAGATCATGGTTTTCCAGTCCTGCTTGTCCAGTAGGAATGCGTGAGAGCAGCATTGAGACTGGCAGAATTGGGTTTAATGCTGTATGGAAGGCAATGGCACATATTTTCCATTGCCAGGCCTCATACTCTCGGTCTGATTACAGATTAGTCAGCACAGACAGCAGTCTGGGTGGAGAGTGGTCAGGGTAGGTGGGGCCTGCAGCCTCAGTCTTTTCCTGAATGGGCGGGGCCTGTTGCTGTGGCGCTGGGGGAAGGCTCTTATATAAAAAGCAGAGGGCAGGCTAGTCTGCGCTGACTGAGCCTTGCATACGTTAAGCCAGTGGTGCAGCAGCTCAGCACCTTCCAGAAGATTCTCTACAGACCTAATCGCATTGCTTTGATGTAAGAGTACCTCTGTAATACCATATTTTTTCAAATCTCTTTTTCTTTCAATCAAAGCAAAACCAAAGCTGGTTTTGATGCATTGCTCATTTTGGCTGTAACCTATTTCCGGTATTGAACTCTTTGACGTTTCTCGGGCGCAGCCTTGACTTCGACAGAGGTGGTGTGAAAAGGAAGAAAGGGGGGAAACAGCTGCAGGCACCCAGCAGGGGAGGAACAGGATTTATTTCTGACACAAGACTTCATTTTTATTGCCCTCACGCTGGGGAAGGCAAAACAGACCCCTCTTCTCCACCCCTCCTGCCCTCTACGATCACTCACTCCTCAAGTCCTCCGGAGGATCCAGCGAGCATCCATCATGCATTTGAAAACCATGAAGTGCAACCGTTTTTGCCTTATCGCCTCCTTGGAGGACCAGGATATGTTTAACAGACCTGAGGCCAGGGTAGGGGTCTTTTTTTTTTTGCTTAAACGTGACCACATGATCTTTTCTTTGCCTCACAGAATAGCTGAAAGTGAGCTGTAATCTAGATTGTGAAAGGTGTTGGCATGTTCAGGCTGATGAAATATGATCTGATGCAATTGTGTTCATTTCTTTACAATGTAAAGTAAAGCTGCATGATGTGGATAGAATAGCATATTGCAGTTATTTTCCTGCATATTTCAATATCACTTTATGTCCATAATGAACAAAAGCTTTGGATTGGGATCACAGTACATTGATCAGGAATGGTTTTTGACTTAGGAGCATTTTTCATTCTGGCATTGTTAGGGATGTAGTTCGTAGTATTAGGGATGAATAGTATACAGCAAAAAAGCATTATGTTCATATAAAATTCAAAATCTTTGTTACCATGATGGAGGCGTTAAAGAAATGGTTTAGAAAAGTAAAATTTTACTCAGTCTTCACCTTAACCCAAATATAATCAATCAGGCAAGACATATTTGGTGTCCATTGTTTGCTTCTTTAGTTGTGTATTAAATTAGCCTCATAGCTACACTGCAAAATTAAGAAAGCAAACTTCATACTTCATACAAACTTTAAACAGAATGTTTTTGCCAGTTGACTGTTTTGTGGTAAGGGGAAAGTTCATTTTTCAGTGAATCATGACTTCGTTTTTCGTGATAAATTGTCTTTCCATATTAAGTCCTAATACTCATCTGCTTTTAAAAATCTTGGTAATATTATCAGTTCTTCAGCTTGTGAGTTATATGTTAGCTGAGTAATGAGTAAGTCAGTGACTAAGGGCTAGTTAGAAATAGAGAAAGAGATGACAAAAATGGAAATGGGGTCAAAGATGGAATGCGTAGAGGTGGGATGACAGAGTTGCAGTACATGGAAAGACAGTTTTCTGACGTGAGTGGTTAAGGACATGCAGTGCTGGAACACTAACATGCAGCAGTGAAAGTACTGAGGTTCAGTGGTTCAGATGGAGGTTCAGATTCTCCATGCTGTTTTGTGTGGAGCCTGATCCAGTATTCCATCAGGACACTGTCGCTGTCTCTCTCTCTCTCTCATCCATCTGTGATCCTACAGTCTGCAATGATTCTCTCTCGTTACCTTGGAAACCAGTATCTTGCGGAGTGCTGTTAGACACAGTCATTTGTAGGCCTTGTATTGCATTAGCATTTTGTGCGTCACTGGAGATTAATATAGCAACACTCATACAATGTCAATCTGTCAGCCATTGAAAGCAAGAAGAATATTTTGTACCAAATGTGTACTAATTCCTGTTTTTCTTTCCTCCCTCAGGCTAGTTTTGAGGAGCTCTTCCGTGCCTTTGACAGTGAGGCTACTTTCCAGTTTTTCAAGAGCTTCAGGCGGGTCAGAATTAACTTCACTAATGCTCTCGCTGCTGCAGAGGCAAGAGCAAAACTCCACAAGAGTGACTTCAACGGCAGAGAAGTGCGACTTTTCTTTGCCCAGGTGTGTTGCTGTTACTTTGAGTCTTTTTTTTTTCTTCCCATTACATTTAGCTTTGGATGACCGACAACAAAAAATGTGTGAATTATGTCAGTAACTGATACTTCTGGCTACTTTAACTGTTAAAATTTTTCCAGTTCCTTTAGTCACTCCTCCACATTTTCCATCCTTCTTTTTTAGTCTGTACATATAGGAAGTCCACGCCTGGAGCCTCCCAAACCGGATAAGCAGTTCCTCCTCTCTCCACCTCCTTCTCCACCTGTGGGCTGGGAACAGGCCCAGGATGCCACACCTGTCATCAATTATGACCTCCTTTGTGCCATCGCAAGACTCGGTCCAGGTGCCAAATGCACACATGAAAACCTGTCCTTCAAGCTTAAACACAAATATCTTGACATTTCATTATAACTACATTAAAGTCTAAAATCCCTTAAAACTATAAAGTAACATAGACCAGCTAAGTTGCTTCAGCCAAGTACTGCATATTTTTGGAGAAAACATGAAAATATGTAAGTTTTCAAATTGTTCCATTTAAAAATTGTATCATTCACTCCCTGATCTGTACATCCATTTAATTCATTGTTTTCACGATCTCATAAAAGCCAATGCATTTACATACAGTCATATGCAAAAGTTTGAAATTACTTGTTTTATTGATTTGTGAAAATATGCAAGATCCTCTACAGGGAACTTAATATGTCTATTTTAGTGCAAAATTTATTTGTTTATGTACTGAGTTTAACACTGTAAAATAAATAAAATAGCAAATATAAAATGTGACATATGCACAGAACACATTTTATGTTGTTTTTTTTCCCCAGCAAATCAACAGTAATTGTGGCAGTGTGTTCTCTGTAGAGGATGTGTTAACTTCTTTTAACTTAGAAAATCAACATATTCACAGTGTAAAACAATGTAATTTGGCAAGGGGCGCCCAGACCTTTGCATGTGACTGTGTAGCTCCTACTCAGCCTGCCACAGTTTAGCTGCTTTTTGAATGAGGCACAATACAGGACATCCAGTCAGAACAGAGATCGTTAACATATATATGAAATATGATTGCTTTTGGTACATAAACCTCAGAAATAAAAGAAAGCTTTAAAATGGAAGATATGCCCCTTTTATAGAATATGGTTTTACTGCTTGGCTAAATGAATAATGATAACCATTCTCTTTGTTTCTCTCTGTTGTAGGTGAGAAGTATGAGCTCCACTCTGGAACCCCCACTACTCCCAGCGTAGTGGTGCACGTATGCGAGAGTGACCAGGACAGCTCTGGTGCCGAAGATGACATGGAGGGCTTCAGACGCCCACGTCCCAAAATCGTCCAGACCCGGCGTCCCGATTACATCCCTGCCATCACACAGTGAGCCTAAAAAGTGTCTCACTGTGCCGTTGTCTTTGCTTTACCATCTCGGGGGCTGATAGGAGGCCAGCCTTGGCATGCAGTCAGTCTGTCCCCTCTAGAGGAGGCCTTGAGTCTGAGCCCAGCCCCGTGGAGAAAGAAATACTGTACATGTCCACTGTCTTGCAGGGGAAGGGGTTTCATTGCATGCATTTGTTGATAAAGTGGCTCTTTTCTCCACACTTAAAGGTCAGGGGGTTTTCAGGAATGCGAATTCCATTGGTGTCTATGACTATGGAGAAGAAAAGTCTCCAGTAGTGAGTTTATTTATTTCCTTTATCTTGGGAAGCATGCTTTATCCCAGTACGAAGGTGTGGAATTTGTATGATGAAATCTATTATGGACTTTCCGTTTTTTTCTTTAATCGGCAGTTCAGTACAGTTTTACGCGTGGTTGTTTTATTAATGTTTCCATCAGCTGAAACAGGAGGCAATAATATTCCTATGCCTTTGTAGGAATATTGATTAATATTAGGATTTGGAAGGTTGCGGTTATGGGCAATACATTTTTTTTATATGCTGGTTGTAAAGATTGCTTCATTTGTTAACTATTAATCCCTGAATGAATGACTGAGGATCTGAAGATTTGGATCTTTTTTAGAAATTGTACTTTCTCTAAAAAATAAAAAATAATAAGTTGTTTGTTAAATAAGCAAATTTGCCATAACTATAAATCTAATTTAATTATGTAAGTATTTTTGGTCAGTAAAAATGACATCTTGGCCCAATATTATCCTGATTGTAAGTTTGTATGGATATACTTTCTTTCTCATGTCTGAAATTTGCAATTTTACATTTATGTAATTCAGGACCACAACACTGTAAAGCAATCAGATTGAGAATGAGGGAAGACTGTTATGCTCTTTACCAGAATTTGCACAAGTTACATTTGTTACATGGTAAAAGTGAGCTTAGCAATGTCTGTCCAATGCCTTTTCATGTTGTATAGTTACCTCATTGTAATGTCTTAATTGTCTGACTACTCATAAATTTGTAAAAGAAAAACTTGCTTGGTTTCAACAGCGTTGTTGACTTGGATGTATGTACTAAAACGTCTACATAAACAATCATAACCAAAATAATAAAACAGGAACTTACACGGTAATGACGTCTGTTCAGTTTTTGTCGTTATTTCATTTGGTCTGGTACATTCTTTTAAAACTGTGTGAATCGTGATGTTGAGCCCACATACCACTGAAGTGTTTCTATGGATTCCGCCGTTTTCAAAGAATGAGTCAGCACTGTGTGTACTGATACGAGGCAGTAATGATGCATGCGGAGGACTTTTCAAGGTGAAGCATGGATTTGTCTTGAAATAGAATCCATGAGCCTCAAAAGCCCTGGCATGTCATCACATATGCCTATTTCAATGCGCACCATTGTTCCCTCTCTGCTCTGGAGCTATTCATCTGCAAGGTCATGGAGAAAGGGTCGGGAGTTATGTGTCTACTCTCATTCCTCCGTCTGATCCTCCTCAATAACCTGTCTGCTTTCAGACGTAACTTCTTTATTACTCATTTGTAAGGGCAGAAATTTCTATTTTTTAGTGCTGTACTTGGTGTAAAAGTGAAAAGTTTCTATGTTCTGACATTGTATGGAAATATTCAAATTTCAAATATTCAAAAATATAAATTTAATTGTAGACTTCTAGATCTTTTCACCATCACTGTAAAGAAATCTCAGTTGGCAAGTTTCTCTAGAAAGTTGCATTTCACATTATATCAGTAGTAATGCAGACCCACATCTGTCATCTTTCTACATTTTAAAGGCCATGCGAATTACTTCATGGAACTGGAAAATAAAAGAGAGTCGTTGGCTCTTTGTCTGACCAATCATGTCGAGGCTGTGCAGTGATCAGGAGTTTTTTTTTTCCACTGAGGAGACAGATGACCTTGACTCTTTTCAGGTTCATTAAATGTGTTGATGTCCTGAGGGGGATGTGTGTGTGTGTGGTTCATATACATGGATGAAAGTGCGTGGATGGGTGGAACCACCCACTTGAAGACCGTGCCTTTTGACCATCATTCTGAGATGGTCCACAAGAAAGGTGTTCGACATTCAACACTGAACTTCATCTGTTCTTTTAATACACTTCTTACAAACTCCATTCATCACTGAAGACCAAAAGGTAGGTTACATCTTTCCAATAGAGATTCTCTGTTTAAAGTATTGTTCATGTCTTAAATATCAACCTGCCCAGGAACAAAGAGGAAATGTTAAAATGCTGATTAGTGTGTTTTCTTCCTTTTAAAAACCAGGTTGCCTGTTTCTATTACTTGTGTATGTGTGTGACTGAATGCTTTTATTGGTTTAGAATGTAACTGTACACAGCTTTTTGAACAAGAATACATATGGGTAACACTATATTTGACAGTCCTCTAAGTCCAGGTAAATGTGAAGTACAGACTCCAATGTACTATCATTGTCATTATCATTATCATTGGGTAACATGATTGTAAGTTCTGAGATATTTTATCTAAATTGCACCTAAATTACACTGAACTGCCCAGTAGATTCTGGATATAAACTGGCTAAATGTGTGGTACAAACTCCAAAGCACTGTGTAATTTGGGTAAACTGGGTAAAGTGACAGTAAGTAACCAGACAGTCAAACTAAATTACAGATTTTCAGATTTACTTTCTTGCTTAAAGGGCCCATATCCCATAAAATCTATACTGTACTTTATCTTTGAGGTCCACATATAACATTTGCATGGTTTCCTGTGCCAAAAACAGTCATAATTCATTTTTACATGACCATTTCCAACCTCTGTTTATCCTTTAGAATTAAACAGGCTGTTTTTGGTACTGTACTTTTAAGACGAAAGTACTGTATGTAAATGATCTTGGTTCTGATCGGCAGCTCTGTGTTGTGCCTCTTCCAAAAAGCATTCTGGACTGAAACGCTCTTTACAACATGAATGGGCGAGACTAAACTGCTGTAGGCCAAATAGGCATATATGTGTAAACGCATTGGTTTGTGTAAAATCACAAAAAACAGTGGATTCAAAACAGGCTGTTTTTGTGCCTTAGTTTCCATATATGGAACTAAATTATTTAGTGAGGAAAATTAGTTTTTCCATGATATGGGCCCTTTAAATATGACACTGCATTTTGCTACCTAAAATGATTTGTACTTTGCGTTTTTACCAAACACTCACCCAGCTAATACCAAAAACCTTTTTGGCATTTCAATGTAATGTAGGCCTTTTGGAAATTACCATTATGTTACCCAAACAATTCCTTAGCACTATGCACTTAAGAACTTTAAGTACTGTAAAACAAAAAAAAACCCAATAAAAACCATGTTACCCATGTGCGTGTATAGGTGCGGATATTATAAGTAATAATACTCTAAACTGACTAAATGTCCATGTTTAACTTTCACACTAACTTTGTCTGCATTTCTTTATTTCACAAATAACAGGCAAGTATGTTGGTTTATAACGGCACAGATGTCCAATCTTTCCTGATCTCTTGGCTCCAGCATTACCTCAACCAAACCTGGATAATACCACCAGCTCCACCTACAGCTCACCTGCCACCTGCACCTTTGAGCGCAGTGCAAATCAAAGGCCAAAGCCAAGGAATGATCTACATTCTACTGGTGGTGGGGCTCTTCAGTTTCTTCACTTTTGGCATCATGTTCAGCTACATCCGCTCTAAAAAGCTGGAGAACTCACAGGATCCTTACCACCAGTACATCGCCCGAGACTGGGCCAGTATGTTGTCTCCTCCCTCTGTAGCCATTACGCAGGCTCTCAGAACCAAGAAGGAGCCTGTGGTTATTGGAAACCCAGCTGTACTACAGCATCTACCTGGGTGAGGAACCAAAAACCATGGCAACGAGTGCACCTGGAGAACTAATGGTGATAACTAGACATTAGCATAATGCTTTTAGAGTAAGTCAGATTAAACTAAATATTAAATAGTATGGGTCATTTGCTAGACTAGGAGGAAATGTATACTGTATATCAAACAGTTCATGCTCCACAGCCCAGTGCTGGGAGGCTTTTTGCATCGGGCATAGAGACCTTAGGCTCATGCATGTCTGCTCCAGAGCATCCAAATTTATTGGCAATGCTTCTCTATGGAGATTACAGACGCTGGTAAGTGTTAAAGTAGCTGAATCCACTAACTAGGAGGGGTGACAACATATTTTTGGAGCTATAGGGTATCTGTATTACTGCAGTATATAGTGTCACTGCATATCTGTTCCCTAAACTTTTCCCTAAGATTGTTTTCACTTCATCACCATTAGTTTAGTTCTTGAATCTGAATTAAAAGAAAACTAAATAATAATAACTAAGAGATTTATTTAGTCTAAAAATAGGATGACCATCTTTGCTAATAAGCGGAAAAAAGGGACTGAGCACTTTTTAATCTCTGTATTGATTTTAAATAAAGACTACTTTTATTTACAGGACAGTGATTTGTGACTAACATTCAAGAAAAAAATGTTATAAGTGGTATTGTACAACCATTTGTTAAAGCTTTTGTTGAACCATTTGCTGATTGTAGACTTGGTGCTGTTCAAAATTCTGCAGTCTGCAATACAGTAATAAAACACTTTCAAGCATTTCATTTGAGTAGACTCTGCATCCACATGATGAGTCCTTGCCTAACGTTCTGCTGAGATGTGTCTGCTTTTTCTCTCTCCTCCATGCACTTTCTCTCTTTCTCCTTCTCTTTTCTGCACTCCTGGTCAGCTTTCAGCACTTTCTCCACTTCCTTGGTCATATTAAAATGAACCATCTGCAAACCCATTAGCGGTACTATCAGGTTGAAATTGTCCACTTTCTTATTGAGCTTCTTTAGTTCATCAGCAAAAGCGGCGCAGTGCTCTTTCCACCGGAGCTGTTCGGAATGCCTCATGGGGCTGCCCAGTCTGGACCGAACCTCCTGTAGCCTCTCTCTCATCTTCTTAATGGTCTCTCTGATCTCCTTCTGGGTTACTATCCATTCAGGCTGGTAACCGTTGTCAATGAGGATCCTGTTGAGGTTGTGCGTCATGGGGTCAGCGTAGGGATTGTGGTCGAATTTTCTGAGTGGTTTGCCTGCGCCGCTGAGGTTGTGGAAGTCACCACGGGCCATGGACTCCTGGATGAGGTCCTCCACCAGGCGCTCCATGGCCTGCGTGATCTTGATCTGCTTGCTGCGTACACGTGCATCCCTTGTCACCATGGCGCCTTCTTCTGCTGCTGCCTGTTCCATGCGCTTACGACGATATTCTAAGACCTGATCTGTTGCCCGGTCCATCCGGAACTGCTGATACTGCCGCTCCCGCTGGCTGGGTGTGCCAGAGCCTACACCTTCAAAGCTGAGGTACTGCCTGTGCTGGGGAGCATGACTTTTATTCTTGTCTTCTTCGTCCTCTTCCATCTGAGCATACGCTGATGTAGACCCCCGCCGGGCCATGTGTGCCACTACAGCCCTGTAAGCCTCCTCTATGTGGCAGAACAAAGCAGCATCCGCTGTTGGGGCTCCAGAGTCTGGATGGTACAGCTTGGCCATGCGCACATAGGCCTCCCTAACCTCAGCAGGGCTGCTGTCTCCATCTTCAGGCAGCTGCAGCAGACGGTAGCTCTCTCTCAAACTGCGGCTGAGGCGAGTGCCAGAGCAGAGTGTGCGTAGTGTTGGGGCTTTGCAGATAGGCAGCAGGACTCTGTGGAGGTCACCATGGTGCAGTCGAAGCAACACAGAGCAGCTCATTGTGCTTTAGTGAACAGGAGAGCTGCTTCAGAAAAGCAAAAACAATGTAACACATTGATAAGGGGTAAAGAAGGCTGCCATACATTTATAATAGATTTATTTTGCAATCACAGCAAAATAAAAATGACCAAAAACAACCTACATTGATTTGCATGGCATTCTGTATTGTATGGTATTGATTAACAGCAGTCAGGAAACATCAGTTCATCAACTTGATTAATGCAGACCTAACTTGATTAATGCTAGCTTAAATATTATCTCATACCGTGACGATTGTGATTTATTTGGAAAATATCATAAATTTTATCAATATTGCCCAGTCCTGTATTTGCCTGTATTAAAGGCTGACTGTTGTTTGTTTATTAAGTTAAGATTAAAGCTACAGATACATTACATGTATTGTTGTATTTTGTCAAGAACTCCTCTACAGTAACAAACTTAAATAGGCAATTTTCTAGAAAATTCTAGAGCATGATTTCTATTTGATGAATTTAACATATTGAAAAAAATAAAACATAACATCAGATGTTTCATAGTCTGTTTACATGCCACATTTTATGCTTGATTAATTTATTTATTTATATGTTAAAATCAGCAAATTGAACAGCAATTATGCATAGGGCTGGGCAATATGACCATATACATCGTTATCATGATAAATAATGTTACAATAAAATATACTTTTCTGAATACATCGTGTGTATCGTCAGTGCTTGTAGAACATTGACCAAATGCATGTTTCATTATGAAAAGAGCAAAATTAGAACCATTTAACTGGATTTAGTGCAACACAGTATGCTAAATACCGAATAAAAATCACTGTATTCACAGTTTTTAATACATTTTTTTAATGTAGCATTACTGGCTCTTTTTTCTCTGTCCCAACTGATCAGATGTCTGAAAAAAAAATATCATGGAACATACTGAACTGTGGAAATTTCTGGAAGTATCACAATATTATATACATCGCCCAGCTCTAATTGTGCATTAAAATGTGTAGAAGTGTGTTCTCTGTAGAGGATGTGTTAACTTACTTTTACTTAGAAAACCAGCAAACCCAAAGCAAACGACTTTATATTGCAAAGTGCATAGAAAGAAAAAGTTTATAGCATTTCAGCTGGTCAGATGTTGCTGTAGTGAGCCCACTGCTGTAGCTATAGACTTGCTGCACTGTCATATCAAGACGGGCACTTTCTGACCCAGATTCCAAACCACTGGTAACGCTGGCCTAATTTTGGGGAAACCGCGAACTGCCATATCTGCTCGTTCTGGTTTAAGGTTCCGTTAAATGGTCAAAAGGGATAGATGCATTAATTATAATGCTCCGACCAGTCCAGATGAGATTTACAGACAGGCATTTAGTGAGTCAAATCGGTGCAGCTAACGTTGCCATAACAGATAGCCAGTTAACGCTAGCTCGTTACCTACCTAGACAGTTCGTTAATATAAGTTTGTATTAAACGTTAGTCTTTGACACTATAATGAATATTAAAACACAAGGAGGAGTGGGTGACATACCTCAGCTCCATATATAAGTGCTTCCATTCGCATAAGAGCACAGAACTAAATGTCCTTAGCTGGAAACGCGGGGGTTTGTTGTTGGTGGAAAAGGAGAAGTGCATGTTGGGATTTGTAGTCATTGAGTTTATAAAACAAGAACGCAGACTGTAATGTTTTAACTGAGCTCCAGAGGGCGCCAAAATGTCATCCGCTACTCTAGTACTGTGGAAACATAACGTTTATTTCCCTTGACGACTTTTAAACTGTTAATTATTCAGACAGAGGTAAATTGTTTAACGTGTATAATGTGGGTGCAAAGAGACAATTACACTGTAAGTCTATAAGCAATACGACAGAATATGAATAAAGCATGTAAAAGGGATTCCACTAGCACTGACTGTGGACTGTTCGTTTTATGTGGAGCTGCTGAGAAGATCAGAGGGCACTACAGTGTTATATCATTCTAATTAAATCATATTAGTACTAGATGTAGGTAAATTGCACCAATTTTGATATTCGTGGTAATTTATTAAGGTTTGGCTGTCAGGATGTCCATCCAGATGGCTCAGTTAGTTCAGACATCAATTAGCTTACCGACTGTCGGAAGTTAATGCGTGTTAATGGGAAATTTCTCTAGCATTGATGTCAATACAACGTTTGTGACTAGAAAACCAGAGTAGTGTCTGTCCATATTCAGGTCACGTCCACCTCTGTGCTCCCCTGGGTCCTAAATAGCTCGGCTAGCTTTCAAACGCTTACTCGAACACTCTGTCCAGGAACAGGCTATTAATACTGTATTTTTCCACCAAAAAACGTGCAACCAGATACAAAAGCGTATTGCTTAGTTAATCTATCAACAATCTGTAAGCTTAGCCTAAATCCATGCATGTACATGTATTTTTCTATTTAACTTTACAAATTAAAGTTGAAGCATGTGTTCAAAGGCCTGCAGTGCCATGCTGTGTGAATGAAGCAGTGATGAAGTTGGTTGTCCAGAGGACCATGGGAGCATTTTACCATCTGAAAAAATCAATGCAGTTAGATCAATCTGTTGAAGTGCTTTTCCGCCAGTTCCATCTATGTTATGTGGACCAGGACACAAATACTCAGATTCACACACAGGGCTCAGAAGCACCAGCTAAAATATAAACACACAAGAGCACAAGATCAGGGCAGAAGCCAAGAAATAACAAGACTGGGAAATGATGAACTTCACGGAGGAAGACCTGGACCATTACTTGCAAAATCAGGTACACTGAGGTTCTTTGCTGACATGTAGAGCTTTAAAATGTACCAGCTGTAATTTGCTGTTGTGACTTAACATAAAGAATGTTATATTCTTGTATTCTTCCCAGGTGGACCTCAGACATCGGCAGGTCTCTAAATCAGTAGAGGATGTGCAAAAAATAATCAAAGACCTAACTGCTGAGATCAGTTCAAAGGATGCTCGCTTCCAATCCATTGCCAACTCTGGAGTTCACAATGACAGCTTCAAAGTAACACACTTCCTCTTCAATTTCATGTGTATGCATTCATCAGTTATAGTCAGTATGTACTGTACCTTATTCATGTTGTTTCTAGGATCAGCCTGCTTTAGCATCAAAATGGGCTGCATTACTTCGGGGAAGGTGTACGTTCAATCCTGCCATTCAGGTAAGACTGCTGGAATGAAAACTTCATGTACTTTTATAGTTATTATCACTTTGAAGTTACCTTACACCTCATAACAGTACATACTCATTTCATTAGAATGCTTTTCTACTATAATATTAGTCAATATAATACGTCTAATGAATGGAAGTATGGAAAATCATAATGCAAATAGAATGATGAGTTTGTATCTGTACCCACAGGTGCTGACTCCCACTCTGTTCCTGATTTCTGTGCCTGTGCGAGGCCTGATGGGCTATAAAGAAAGGCGAGCGCGGCAGTGGAGGTACTACACGCTGAGCGGCTCACACCTCCTCTCCCCAGTGCGAGAGCCAGAGAAGCTGCACCAGTGGCTGGAGCTGGAGAGCTTTGCCAACGCCTCTCAGGAGTGGCACGATGCCCGCTTGGCCATGGAGGGTGACATCGTACCCGCCAAAGTGGTCACTTTGTTTAAGGAGCAGGTAGAGGCCGCTATTAAGACGTGTAGACTGACAGGTAAGATATTGCTAATAGGGATGAATTGATACTGACTCTGTGCTTATTTACTCATATTCATACTCTGTGCTCATTTACTCGTATTCATACTCATAAAAATGTACTGATACCAACATCAGATACGAGCTGATACCATGTAACATAAGCCGAGTGTACACTACTGTGATAATGAACGAACGACTCAAGCTGGCAGTGAAGAAGGGTCTGCTTGCACAGAGTAACTGACTCCTTTGTGGTTGGACTCAAGGTCACTGGTCACTTTAAACATTCTGCCTTGGCAAATTCTTTCGCAGAATACACTGTGCGATTTTAGCCCAATTTAAAAGACACACAAACAAAACCACTCTCCCAATATAAGTGGACACACATAGGCTAGCAAAACGGACAAAAAAATCGACATTTGTTACCACAGTCTGTATAAATTACTCTGTTAAACTGAATAATACTGTGAGGTATAAGCGTTAATACATATGCTATAGACAGACCACGTTATCCTGTCGTGTATATCACTGCCTGGCTTTAGTTTCAGTGCACTTTGTCAGCAGTGCTGCACAGTTTCTCAGCGTGTTTGCTCAGTACTCAGGGCCACAGCGTGTTGTTTTGAATGACACAACTCAATTTGAAATGGTTCATAGACAGAGCCGTCTGTGGAAGCTGCAGCTCACATAGCATGGACGGGGCATAGCGGGAGAGTATAAATCGGCTTTGTCTCTGTGTGATGGTCTATTCAAACTCATGGTGTGAGTCACCACAGAAAAGACTTCTAAAATCACACAGTGTGTACCTGGCTTTAGAGGATATTTAACTACATTTCAACCAGCCAAACAAAACACTCTGAGAAGCTCCACAAGTGAGCCACTCAGATTAGCCATGGATGTGACCTCTGCTGTCGCTGTGCTACAGAGACAGCTGTTGTAAGAAACAAGTGAGGAACAGGGATCAAAACTATGAAATATACTTTACTCAGAGCTGTACAGAAGTGCTTTTTTAATGTGGAACAAAACCCACTCTTCTCCACTGCAGCGTTACTCAATCCAAGGTACCTAATGTAGTATAGCTAGCTAATGCACATCATTTAAAATCAGTTAGATTTTTATGATTTAATTGAGGTACATTGCACTCATTTATATTAACAACTACTTCATTCTAAGTAGGTTACTCAGTGTAAGATCAGAGTTAGTATCAGCGAGTGCTAAGAATGTACTCATAATTGTTCTGAAAAAAAAGGTATTCATGCATCACTAATTTCTTACAATATTCTTATGAGTGGATACAGTCAGGAAGCAAAATCAATAGCAGCCTTTAAAACCTAGTCTTAGTCTTATTCTGTGGTTTCAGACCGACTGTGCTGCTCTGCATTTTAGAAGTGGTTCGATACACATTTTAATATTCATTTTTTTGATACAGAAGTAGAAGGAAGTAATGGAGCTGCTAGACAGTGATATGAATTGTGAATATTTCAATTTATATGGTATTAATAATGTCATATCAGATTTACTGATAGAATCGTTTTTGCTGTTTTATTAAAAAAATAGTTTTCCCAAAAACTCTCTGCACTGGAAATGAGGCCATTTACATTTTGTGTGCATTTAAATGTATTTGTCTATTAGACATTTTGTTTTCACCAGGTGCTGTGCTCTTGGTTTGTCTTGAATTTGACCAGTGATATTGACGCTGGCATTTCTTTTTTACTTCTGCGCCAAAATTAATGGTATTAAAACCACAATGCATATTGTATTGTGAAATTTGTGCATTGTTATACAGCTGCTGAACAGGGTATTGTCAAACAACGTTAAACTGTTGAACCACTGGGGTTAGACATCGTCCAGTAGAACTGTTTGATTCAAACAAAAGTGGAGTGGAGAAAGGCCTGTCAGTCAGCCTACAATGCACATCCAGACACAGAACTGCAGAATGCAGCAACACAATGAGAATGGAGATTTCGTGGTCAAATCAGGCTGATGACTGGAAATTCATAAAATCATCAGTAGTTGATTGCCTCCACCAGGTTAACTCTAGGCATAGAGACAGAGAGACTCTATATAATACAGCTCTAACAACCAAGACCTGGTATACCACCCAAACAGTCCCCATCAGATAAACGGTATCTAAAGCTTTCATCTTTGAGAGAGAGGAGAAAATCAAGCTCCAGTTTTGCTTCAGATCAGAAAAAAATCCACAGGTGTTTCTGTCCATCCTTCCACTGTGAGAAGACACTCAACACCATGAGTCTGAAAGGATGTGCAGCTGTCAAGAAGCTGTTACTGAGAAAAAGGAAAAAAAAAAAGAACAAGAAGAAAATTTGCAAATAAAGAACAAAGAGCTGATGGTGAACAATGGCCTGACTGCCCAGAGTCCAGACCTCAACATCACTGAATGTGTTATGGATTACTTGGATCATGAGAAACAGAAAATACAACCAACTTCTAAGACTGAACTTAAAGCAAGTCTCCTGAAAAGAATTTAACGCTTTAATAAAGACGAGTGGACACACTAAACACTGAAACATTTAACGTTACATTTAGTTGTTGAGGCTTCTGTGTCATTTTTTTGCTTTTATCCTGTCGCTAAAGAAATTCATATTTTTTTTTCTTAATGTAAATCGTCCCAAACAATCGTCTCTGGGACAATCTTGTTTTTGTCCTATTGCTGTGATAGAGAAAGTGAGTCTGCTGGATTCGGTGGGCTCAGTGGTGCGCGTTGCTGTGGAGACTGGAAATGAAATAAATGAAGGGTAGTATCTAAGTTTTGTACAGTACTGCATGTTCTAACAGGACCCATTACCACCAGTATAACTTTTACAGTATAAGCTTTACAGGAGAAAAAAATTCTTTAATGCACAAAACATGATTTTATTTTTTTGGACGGTTTCTGATGGCCCATTTGTTTTAAAATGTATTAATGTGGTGTAAAGTGCTGCTGGTCTTTTTAAATGGTGCAAAGGTTTTAACTAGAAAATAATGACAAGTGAATGCACAGCTATTTTTGTGGAAAGCTAAAATAATGCTCAGTATTGGTTTGTGCTAGTAGTTTTAGAAAAACTCTAATATGACACAGAGAATCTATAGAATGCCGGTCACTGCGGTCTGTGCTTTTACAATTAGCATTTCTGCCTAAACTCGCTTGAGGCACAGAATGTGGGTGGTAAACATGCCTGTACACACTCATGTGTAACACAAATGTGGCATCAATACATCGCAATACTCCATGACCTTTCCATTCAACAATACAATAACATTACTCTAAACCAAGTGATCATCTCTGGGACAAACTCAGTGCCTCTGGCTCTGTGTTGTTTTTGTCCTCTTGCTGTGATAGAGAAAGTGAGTGTGCTGGAGTCGGTGGGCTCAGTGGTGCGTGTTGCCGTGGAGACGTCGGAAGCGCAGATTGAGGTTGAGCTGGTGCCCACAGTGGAGCTGATGAATTGCTGGCCAAAGAGAGCCCGCTGGCCCCGCCTACTGCAGAGATGGCCTTCTACTGAGCGCACCCGCTGCATTAAGGTTAGGAGGTGGGAGGCTTGAGACCAATGCAGAAAAAATGAGCCCCTACTTAACTGCCTTAAGTCAGTGGTTCCCAGTCCTGTTCCTGGAGTGCCCCTGCCCTGCATAGTTTAGTGATGTCCACCAAAAGTCAGGAAGAGCTTTTTAAAGGGATGGTTTGGCCAAAAAATCAAAGTTACACAATTTTCCACCAAATCAAGATGTAGACAATCAGCCAAGACATGTTTGGTGTGCAGACTTTGCTTCTTTATCTGTCTAAAAAGGGAACCTTGCATAGTATTATAAACATTAACCAGCCAACTATGTTGGAGCTATGATACTTATGTTGCTAACAAACACTAGACGTCAATAGACACCCAAATGTTTTCTGACAGGTGAAATACACTGAGAAGCTGAACTGCAACTAAAAATATAACAGTATGATAGGTAGTATGTTCTAAACACATTGTCTTCTTGTTCTTTGCAGTCCTTTGGTTTCAATCTCATGGCTACGTCCAATTACCACTGGCTGCTGTCATTCTCACGGGCAGAACAAGTGCTGCTGGGTTGTATAGATGAGGATGGCGGCTGTCGCAGGAAGTGTTACAGGGTGGTCCGTCAGCTGAAGGAGGATGTGTGGTGTCCAGGGAGCAAACCTGTCATCACTGCCCACCATTTACAGGTACAGGCACCAGGCTTATCTGCCTTATCTCTCTCTCTGCCTCTCTCTGCCTCAGGCTTGTTCTGCAATACTGAACTACTGTATAACATGTAAATTACAGTATGGATCCTCAGCCTGAGACTGTTAAATATTAGGGAGTCTGATCAATATTATGGTTACTGGCCCAGATATGGAATATGGAGCAGATATGGAGCACTAAATTATTGGTCATAATATGAATACTAAACCAGTAATAACAATTACGTTTTCACTTTTATCCACAAATACTATATTGGTGGGCAATATTTTGTGCACGTCTATTAAATGCTCTTTTTGCAATCAAAGTACTGTTGAAAATATGCCATTCCAAAGGTGTCCTTATCTCTGGCTCTGCTCTAGACTCTGCTGTTCTGGACGTGTGAGAAGTACCCGAGCTCCAGAGACTGGAGGAACCTCAGAGAGTGTGTTTTGCGTCTGGTGCAGAAGCTGCACAAGTGTGTTTCCCAGCGTTACCTCAGGCACTACTTTGTGAGAACCTACAACCTGCTGAAGTACACCAACACCAACGAGCTAGATGACATGACCAAAAAAATCGTAGACTTCCTGGAAAACCCACACACTTATATTCACTAGGAGCTCACTATACTTCATGAAACAGTATCTGAATAACGGTGCTTATATATTTAAAAGCATGACACATTATAGGCTTCTAAAGCTGTGCATCAATCTGTAGTCAGCACCAAAGCCATATTAGGTATAAGCATTTTTTACTATGGGAAAAATCAACAGCATTTTCAAAACCTGATAATGCGTCCTGTGGGGGCAAAAAGTATACATATTTTTTGAAAACGTCACTGGATACTCTGAATGACAAGATGATTAATATGAATAGTTGAAATACAAATATTGCTACACTGTTAGAAATAAAGGTTCTGTGTACATTTTTCATTCATCAAGGTACAAGGTGTGGAGTCAGTACAGCTTAGAAAATATAAGTTCAATGGATTATGGTGCAATTATGCTCCCTGAATAAAGGTACTGAGATGTACCCTTGAGGGGACCATCCCAGCGACAAGGGGGCACTGCCCCAGTGACAGTTTCGTAGCTTCTTTTCTGAGAGTGTACATGCAACCTAACACTCTTTCTTCTGAGTTGACATCATAAAACTGGGAGCCTCACCAAACTAACCATCATGTAGCATGGCTGTGGAAATGTGTGTATTTTGACTGCTAAACAACCTCATAATTCAGAGAATCCAGTTGCACTAAGGGAGGAAATATGAATGAGACAAAACGTATCAGCTTTGGAACATTTTCTGTTACCACAAGGCACATCAGCTGTGATTTTCAACAATGCCGTTCATTTTTCACATAGAGAAAACCAACTTAGACCCAGTGTTCCTATAATAGGTGTGATGTTGATTACAGAATGATGATACGCCTTTAGAGGTCTAAGTACAGCGTTGGACTGTTGTTAAATTCTTCACAGTTAATCAAATAAGTGAGAACAGCTCTTTGCACCTGTTAGAATAGATGAACTGAACTGTGTAATGTTGTGCCCTCTACTTTTTCTCGCCATGCAACAAATGCTGAAACAGTACCTGTGTAATCCACCAGAGGTCCCTGTCACTTAATGGTAGTTCTGATCAACACCCTCATGATCCTCTTTAGAGTGTGCAGTTCATTACAGTTAATACGGTTTAGTAAGAGTGCATTGGTAAAAGTCTGTTTTAGCCAAGAACCAAGACTGTCTTTTGATGAATTACATGTTCCCGAGCTGTGAGAGAGCAACAAAACAAGTTCACCTCCTGCTGTGGTGGGCTGACACATGTGGAAGACCTGTCACAGCAATCAGAGATGAATCACTGGATTTTTTCCGGGCATTGTGTAGTGCAACATGGAATGTTACTCCTTCCGTTATTTCTGCTTATGGTTACATTTTAGGGTAAACCCGTTCTTACTCTTTTATGCACAGGAGTCTATCATTATCTTCATTGAATATTTTTAAAAACAGAGACAAAAAAACTGAAAACCACAGCAAGAACACAGTCTGGTCTTATTATGTAATTATTTATTTATTTATTAGATTTTCAAATGTGCCATTTCTATTTCAGATGTTCACTTACTTCAGAAGTTCAGTAGTTCAAAACCATCCTTCACAAAGAGTGCTGGAGGTAAAAAGGCACTTGTTAAATGGTATATAATAAATTTAAATTAAAAAATATCATGCAGTGATTAATTTCAAGTAATCCCACTTTTCTTATCTAATAGTGATGTTCTGCTTATGGACATGGTTACTTTCAAATGTTATGGTAGGATCAGGTGATTAGAGTGTGCATAAAGGGATAGTAGGAATATTTTTATCACAGAAATGCTGAACACTGCAAACACTTCAGCCAAGTGCTGATACAGAAAATCATAGATAACACTACTGTAGGATAGTGCTCATGAGGCTAAATGACACCTATCTAAACCTTTCATGACAGCTGACATAGACCTACATATCACTGCTGTCCAAAAAATCTCAATTTTTGTGAATTTTTATTTTCAACACCATTTGAACACAAAACTTGAAATAAGACCTCTTTACATTAACCTACATTAAAAGTTAATAAAGTTTTTGCCCTCTCCTGTAAACTTACTATTTTGGAGAATGATGTTTTTCTCTGGACAGCCGTGATGTACATTTATAACACTTATTCCAGTAGGCGTCATTTGTCATAAAAGTTGCATTTGCAAGGTGAAATGACTTTGTAGCTTTGTGTATGTCACAGTGACATAATGCTGATAATATGACATAGCTTGGCAAGTCAGGCTGGGTATTTTCAGTGTACCATTTATAAGATTTAAGCTATGTTATATCATCAGCATTATGTCACTCGATTATACACTAAGCTACATAGTTAGTTGGTATAACATGCTGTCATTTCAACCAAAAAGTGTCATGACAACCCAATGTCAGAAAACATCAGCGCCACCTGACAACAGCATTGTGTCAACTGGACATCAAAGTTTACTAAACCAGCCTTTGTTGCAGACGACAGCTTTTGGAATAAGTCTTTATAAATGTTTATGTGTGACTATAACAGTTGCCATGACGATCTGCTGTAAAATAAAATGTTACCAAATAATAATTTAAAAGAAATCATATAATAACTGAAAAAGTGCTACAAACGGTTGTTTGAGATTTAAGGACCACTTTTGGTTCCCTAAAGAATTTTGTAAATAAGATGTGAGAATGTGAAGAACCTTTTAAAGGTTTACAGAAACTGTATATTATGTAGAGGTTCTTTAAACTTTAAAAGGGTCTATACACTCACTATTGTGGTAAAATCTTGAAGTGTACTCTGTGTAGTGGATGCTCTGAACTGTAGATAGTTTTCAAACTGCTTTAATGCTCCTAAAAGTAAAGAATCTTCATTGCTTTTGGGCTTCTTAGTGTTTTGTTCTCTCAGTCTCTCATTTGTTTTCTGATTTTTCTCATGTTCTTCTGTCTTTGGTTTTCTTTATGTTTCAGTATTTTGTTCAGTAGTGTTCTCTCTTTGTTTGTCACCTTTGTGGATCCCTTGTTTGTCACATACACACATCCCATTTGCAAAATCCACTGAAAGGTTCTTTAAGGTATCAAAGGAAGTCCCCACCCAAAGAACTTGTGATTACTTGGGAAATTGTGTTTATCTCCTTAAAGGTATTTGCAGCAAGCCCAGTTTAAAGCCTACCATAAGGTTTTTATTCTGAAATATCACAACCAAAAAGCTCAGCACTCTCAGCGCATATTGGCCATGTGCTGCTGCCTAATGCATGATATAAAGATACTTTGGTGTGTTGATTTGAAATGGAATGAATATTTTCTAGTGTAACACCTGTGCTCTCCATTCCACTCTTCAGATAAACCGTTCCATATGAAACAGTTGTGTAGTGTCGACACACAGGATGTTATTATGTCTGCTTGGCTTTGTGAGTAAAACGTGCTGAGTTGCTGAATAGAGGAGCCTGTTTCTTCATTTGGTTTTCCAGCAACATGCAGAGGAGTGACATTAGATGAAGTAAGGCAATACCTGTAGTAAAAAAAGTAAATTCTTATGATTATCAATGGCAATGTGCCACCCTTCATTAATTAACTCTCCAGTCAAGACAGTAATTATGTACAAGTTATTCATTTTTCAGGAAATAGGTCTGAAGGCATTGTGTATAAGATAATCTACTTGCATAAGGAAAAGGAAAGTAAAAGAAAAATAAATGAAAAAAAAACAGGAGTTTCCAAAACTAGAGTTAAAACTTTTTTAAAGTTAGAGAGAAAATGGCACTCTTAACAACTATGAAAGACCTGGTAGACCATTAAAACTGTCACCATCAGATAAAGAGCAATTAAAACTTTCATCTTTGAGAGAGAGGGGAAAATCAAACTCCACTCTTGCTTTAAATCTGAAAAAATACACAGGTGTTTCTGTCCATCCTTCCACTGTGAGAAGACAACTCAACACTATGAGTCTGAAAGGATGTGTAGCTGATAAGAAGCTGTTACTAAGAATGGGAAGTAGACAAAAAAGAGGAAAAATTGCAAATCAAACAAAGAAACTGCTGGTGTTCTCAGAATTATGGACTGACCACACATGCAACCAACTTCTAAGACTGAACTTTGGAGGTGTGTAAAATTAAAAAAAAAAGATTTCATTAAACTGTTTGCAAGTCTTCCAAATAGAATTGCAGCTTTAATAAAGAAAAAAAGTGGACACACTTATTACAGAAAAAATAGTGTTCAGTTGTTAAGGCTTCTGTGTCATTTCTGTTAAATTTATGCTTTTTGCTTTTATACAATAACTTGTATTTGACTGGAAATTTTGTTATGTAATTCTGTATGTAGTTCTGAGAGTGAGAAATTGACGTGTGGACCGTCTGATAGATTGTTCGAATTTTAGAGGTTAATACATTTGTTTTGACTTTTCACCCAGTTATTTTATTATGATAATTATTTGGTAGTGTAGCATGTAAGGAATCCTTCTTCCCTCATCTTCCATTAATATTGTATATAAATGTAGACAGATGCTGCATTGGGCACCAAATGAATGATGCAGAGAACTGATTACTCCTGTTTCATCACCACAGTGTGATCACTACTACTTTTTCTGTGAATGCATCTTTGCAAAACGGACGAGCTCCCTTGTGGTCATTTCCATTCTCTGATTCTGTTTGCTGATGGAAGAGCTTAGCTTTTAATATGCAATGTGCGTCTTGGAAAAGTGGATCTTGTTTATTGGAATTTAGCAGCATGTATTACGTGCTTTGGTGGTGAATTCTGTCTGCAAATATAGTGTTGTTTCGAAAATGGAGAGAAAGAGATGTAGAGGATTTATTTGCAAGTGTGGAGCATGTATTGAAATGATGGTTGTGGTACATGCACTGATTAAGGAACTGTAGAAGGACAAGACACTCTAAAGACTTGGGCTGAACATCTGGGCAGTGTCTACTTCTTAAGTGCATGTAAACACATTCATTGATACAATAAGTAAATAAGTAGTGAATTTCTGTGTGACACAGTGTATTTCCAAGCCTCTCCATATGTCAGCCCAGTAGTACTTGTAATTATCATCAAATACTTTGTTTATAATATAAATACTATATAATAAGAAATAC